GAGCGCTTTACTCGCACAGGGACAGATGTCGCCCAAGTATCGGGTCCCTCTCAAACCGATTGCTCCGGTTGTTTTTCCCAGCGGTGGTTCCGCATTCCCTCGCTTTCCGCTTCTTGTTGTACCCATAGTGGAAGAAACACATTTAGGTGATGACTTTCTGTCCGACGCTGCGACCACATTATGTTCGGCGCACCGAGCGCTTTACTCGCACGGGGATAGATGGTGCCCAAGTATCGGGTCCCTCTCAAACCGATTGCTCCGGTTGTTTCTCCCAGCGGTGGTTCCGCATTCCCTCGCTTTCCGCTTCTTGTTGTACCCATAGTGGAAGAAACACATTTAGGTGATGACTTTCTGTCCGACGCTGCGACCACATTATTTTCGGCGCACCGAGCGCTTTACTCGCACGGGGACAGATGTCGCCCAAGTATCGGGTCCCTCTCAAACCGATTGTTCCGGTTGTTTCTCCCAGCGGTGGTTCCGCATTCCCTCGCCCACCGCTTCTTGTTGTACCCGTGGTGGAAGAAACACATTTAGGTGATGACTTTCTGTCCGACGCTGCGACCACATTATGTTCGGCGCACCGAGCGCTTTACTCGCACGGGGACAGATGTCGCCCAAGTATCGGGTCCCTCTCAAACCGATTGTTCCGGTTGTTTCTCCCAGCGGTGGTTCCGCATTCCCTCGCCCACCGCTTCTTGTTGTACCCGTGGTGGAAGAAACACATTTAGGTGATGACTTTCTGTCCGACGCTGCGACCACATTATGTTCGGCGCACCGAGCGCTTTACTCGCACGGGGATAGATGGTGCGCAAGTATCGGGTCGCTCTCAAACCGATTGCTCCGGTTGTTTCTCCCAGCGGTGGTTCCGCATTCCCTCGCTTTCCGTTTCTTGTTGTACCCGTGGTGGAAGAAACACATTTAGGTGATGACTTTCTGTCCGACGCTGCGACCACATTATGTTCGGCGCACCGAGCGCTTTACTCGCACAGGGATAGATGGTGCCCAAGTATCGGGTCCCTCTCAAACCGATTGCTCCGGTTGTTTCTCCCAGCGGTGGTCCCGCCATTTCCTCGCTCACCGCTTCTTGTTGTACCTCACCGCCACCACGCCGCCACTAAGTCGCCAAAGTTCGTAAATATGCGTTCTCTTTCTTCTTCTTCTTCGGGTTAAGGTTCACCTTCGTGCACGATGGTGGCACCTGTGATCGACACAGGACCAAAGCAAAACACGAGACCAGCCACTGGCCGCACACCACCACCACATCCCCACACCGCGATAAAAGCGAGCACGCTATGCCGCCGACACCGTGGTCGCCGAGGAGGGACCTCATATCTCAGCGCCTTACGCGGCGGCGCGGAACTAACTACTCCTGGATCGGGACTAGCTCCGAACACGATCTGGTCGCTCGCTTCCTGCGGGGAGAGCGGCCAGAGTCATCACGTAAACGTGTTTCTTCCACCGTGAATCGGCTCTTTACAACCTTCCAACGTAGCGCTGTTTCGCGGCGCACGCGGGCGTTAGAAGAAGATGAGGAATCAGTAAACACGACGGCTTCGGGGAGCGCTTCTGACAGGCGTAGAGTATACAGGTGGCGTTGGTATTACATATCATGTTTTTTTTTGTTTTTTGTTTTTTTTTCATTCCACGCGTGACGTCACGTTTCACGTGAGCGTTGTGGGTTATTCGAAATTCCCGCGAGAGGTCACCTGGCTATCCCATCATGGCCCTATCGACCAATCAGGATTTTCCCGCCCCACCGACGCCGTCACCGACGCCGACGCCGGATTTTCTGCGACGCAAGTCCGTTTCTTGGTCAATGGCGTTGCGTGCGAGTATATTTGGGTCTCAGAGTAGCGTCACAGAGTTACGTTGACTGCGTTGCGCTGCGTTGCGTCATGCAGCACAGCGCCTCCTCATTGACCCGTCGTAAGTGTCGTTATAGCAACAGTTCAACACAATCGGTCTGAACGAGGCACAAGTGGTTGCCGTCGCACTCGAACGCAACTGTTTAAATGAGCATTTTTTCTGCAAAAAACTATTACTAGTAGAAATGTGATTGATGAAATACACATTTGAGGAACAAGCCAGTATGGACACCGATGGTTACAAAATATTTGATAGCATACTGACGCTCATTTAAAGAAACCGTCATTTTCGTTGAAAAAAAGTTAAATCTTCTTTATTTGGCTTTCAGGATCGCGAATATGAAAATTATATTACAGATTGATGCTCCATGTAGCCACAACAGACCTTTCAAAACGCTCGAGGTACACATAAGCACTTCTTATGAGTTGTGAATGCGAAAGCATGAATGCCGTCTGCGGCGCACTTGCCTCGACGGTCGAGCGCGCGCGCTCTCCTCGCCACGCTGACCTCGGGCGTGGAGCGGTGGAGCCGCAGCTTCGCAGACACGCAGCGCCATGGGGAGGCGCTAATTGAAACTGACGCGTGGCGGCTTCATATCACTGCCGTTTTGCGTGGCTTTCTGCGTGGTTTCAAAGCTGGGATGCCTCAGATCGCGGCTTCGGAAATTTATCTGCCGTTTGGCGCGGCTTATGACGTCGGCTCGCTCCTTGGGACAGTTAATGCCATCGCATTAAAATAGCGCTGAATCCCCTAGTCCCCGGCACGTTCGGTGGGAGGAGAGAATCGTGACGTATTCTACAGAGATTTCAACATTTCCGCGCCTTCCGCAAGACCTATCCGAGCTGTCAAGAACGCTGCACATGTTCTTTACAAGCGGCAAGCGCAAGCCGTTTGAAATCTCTGGGGGTGTCGTCACACACAGCGGCTGTTGTTTTTTTCGGTTTTTCTCGCGTCTATTGATACGTTTGGGTGAAATACTTGTAATATTCAAATTTACAGGACACAAATACGCTATATTTCATCCCTTACTCGTTTTGTTTTTAATGCGAAAGTATCAACTATCCCATGGAGCGGAGCTGGCGGCGTCTTTAACCGCAAAAAAAGGCAAAAGAAATACCCATATTAAAAAAAACAAAAACGTTAACGATTTTTTGTAACGCCGAAATTGAGCGCTGCTCTTGAGGAGGAGGGGAGGGTACGAAAAGGAGTGAATGCCCCTCCTCCTCATCCGTACGCTCTCCTCCTCCCCTCCTCCTACTCTCCTGCTCCTCTCTTGAAATATTTCGATTTCGCGGCCCCCCTCCCTCCCCCCTCCCCCCCCCCCCCCCCCCCCGCCCCATACCGTGCTAAACAATCTGAGAAAGATATATATATACAGGCTGTTTTACGAAAGGTGGACAAATTCAATATTGCGAAAACTACGCATCGCACAAAAAGAAAGGCTTGTTTTGTTTTGGTCCTAGGCCAGGGGCCTATGTAGGCAAATTATTAAAGTTCGAGATAATTAAGTCGTTCATTATTTTCGCGTAACACATTTTTTCAAATATTGAGTTTAAGGCATGGTTTTAATTAGAATCTTCCTGAGCATCATTGAAAAACACTAAATCAACAAATTGCAGAACGATAGAAGGCACGCGCGGTTTTTTACGGCTTTCTGAAAAACCGCACAATTTCGACGGGTTTTTAATAGCCCCTTCCCCTGGCAAATAGCGAGCGCTCGGCGCGCGCTCGCCGAGCGGATTCTTGTTTCCCTCTCGAGATGAGAGCAATCTCTCCGTGTGCCGCTTGTAGATCCGGAGCCATGGGGCGCTCGCCGAGCGGCTCCAACCGCTCCGTGGAAAAGTGGCGGAGCGCGTCGAGCTGTCCGGAGTAGTTCTACGCGCAGCCTTTTTCGGAGGAGTACGATGTAGTCGTCTCTCGCAGCGCAGTTTCGTTATCGACATTCCCGCGGGGGAGTGAAGGAGTTTCGCGGCTTTTTTGTTTCGATTGCTGGGCATAGCTGCGACATCTTACTGTAACAAGTTAGTGGCGCCCCCCTCCAGTCCGCCCGTCTGCGGCCGCCAGGCTCGGCGGGCAACATTGTTCACCAAATTAAATGATGAACAACTAACTAGCACAGCTGGGAACAGGCGGGACAGAGGAAAATTGGGACTCCCTCCCGCGTGGCTCCGGCCCAAAGTCTCAACCCTGTCTCCCAGTGGGTCCGGTGCTGGGGTAACGCCGACAAGGTTTGACCAGAGGAAAATTGGCGACTCTCTCGCCGGGGGTAGTCGCTTTTGCGACAAAAGTTGTCGCGCCCTTGCCGGTGTGAACGCGCGAAGTTTCTTTCCCGGGACGTGGGACACGAGCCCTCAACGCGGTACAGTCCGAGAGGCCTGCGAGTAGCGGGTCGGGTGGTCACCCTACCTACAAGCTCCGAATTTACTTTTATTAGTATAAAAAAAAAAGGTTTTGTTTTAAAACTATTTAGTGCAGCGTATCCGATGACGGTTAGTAAATGTTGTTACAGGGAGGTCAGCTTGAACACTAGGCAAACACAGAGAGGGAACGAACATACGGCCAATACAGCGGTGTGTATGTTCGTTTTCTCTTCGTGTTTGCCTAGTGTTCAAGCTGACCTCGCTGTGATTGAAATTTAGCAGCTGTGGAAAAAAGAAAACAAAACTCGAAACACCATAATTCTGGCAATTTTGATGGGGAGAAACTATTAATCCAAAGCCAAAGCCATCCGTAGACATTCCACCATTATCAATCTTTTCGTGGGTGTGTTGTTCAGTCAGTGCGTTTGGGCTTCACTAAAAGCCCTCAAGATGCCGGTAAGTTTTTAAATTCCCTCTACAGTACCCCGTAAAGAGCGTGTAGCAATATCCTCTCTATACGTCTTTTCGAGTGAAACGCCGATTTGCACAGCTTCGTCAGGGGTTCACCGCTGTTGCGGCAGGAATCACTGAATCGCCGAAAAAGCCCAGAGTTGCACGCCAATCGTCCCGTATTTCATCCGTTCCTTCGGAAATAATTATTTTCCTGCCGAGCCGACCGATGTGCCAGTTTGCTTTTGGGCTGTTAAGCAGATCGTACTTTACGGGGTTGGGGGCCTAATCGCCTAGCTCAACGTTGATCTAACCGTCCGACTATGATATCCTCTTGAGTTCACTGAGTCGCCGACTTGCAGCACATGTCGTCATTAAGCGCTTACGAAGTATTTTTGAGTCTCCTTTATTAAAGCGTCGGTGAAGCATGAACACGGAGCTCGCCCAGCCGTAAGAAAGTCCCAAGGAAGGGCGGAGCCAGTCGCTTATCGAGGACTGCCATTAGTCATTCATTTCCTGTGCCCCTCGACAACAGAAGACAGACGCTATCTTCGCCGTGTGGACCTCCTACTCCAGCTACTGCTTAGCTATCACGGCGTACTAAACATCCACGGTTTAGCTGCACTTTAGCCGTTGTCATACGCAGCTTTGCTTGATTTTACTTTTCGATGGATCGTGGCGATGCGTGGTATGGATTGTGCACGGTGGGTGTCATTTTTTTAGTTCTTAAACCGATTGTTTCTGTAATTACTGTCTGTGACGTGAGATAAAGTTGCCTATTGGTCCTCCTTTCGATACGCGCTGTTTTGCTTTCTTTCAGTCTGAAATTTGATGGGCGTGGCATGAGCGAGCATAGACATTGCTTCCGGTAACAAAGCTAGATCCTGTTGGCTCTACTGAGCCACGGTAACATAAATTGAGTTCTTCAAAACATCTCTTTTGTGTCCACTGTGGCTTATCTTTCACCCCCAAGTTCTTACAAAGGAGCTTCTCTCCCCTTCTCTAAGTGCAACATTTGTTTCCTTGGGCTTTCTACAAAAAAATCCTGGCACATAGTCTCCGGCAGGGGCACCAGCTCCTTGTAAAATCGTGGATTTATCCACAACAATCCGAGGGCAACCCAACTTCAGTAGTGCATTTACCTAGAAATAAAATTTGAAGCGCATGCACTTCTTTTTTTGTAGTGAGATAATTGGCCTTCCTCTGGTTGTGTCTGTCTTAATGTTTTTTTTTAAACTTATTTTCAGGCGTACCACTCTCAACTGACTGGTGGCACTACCTTTGTTGGAAATATGGCCTTACTGCCAATCAAGTCACAGTACAGAGGTCCAGCACCGAAAAGCAGTAGGTGTTGAATAAAAGTTCTTATCTACCTAGTTTGGTGTAAAGTTGTTAATTGCTCTATTCTGAATTTCGCCTTAACCGCCAAGGACGCAAGGAGCCGCCGGAGCCAATCTAGAGCTTGAAGTGTGATACATAACCTTCTGGTTGGATGGGCTGATGTGCGGAACGTGAAATTATGTGGCATGTGCAGAGCACTGGATTGACCAATGTGGCTCATAACGTCCATTGCGGTGCACCGTTAGGTGATATAGAGTATAGGAATGTGGAAAGGCACTTGAAGCCTGCGATTGTGCCACATTACAGGCAGTTGTTGTTTATGGGAAAAGAAATTAAGACACGATGATGATTGTCAACAACACAGACTTCAGAGGTCTAATGATAAAAGTAGAAGTTTGGGCTAGTTGATATTTCATGATTAAAGATTAAAACAGCGCAAGGACACGGACAAGAACAAGAAGGATTAAAACAGCGCCTTTTTTGTCTACCTTCTTGTTCTTGTCCGTGTCCTTGCACTGTTTTAATCTTTAGTCTAATGATAGCAGGCTACTGTGACTCACTACCGGCAGTGAATATAGGCATGGCGTGTAAAATAATTTTAGTGAGTGTTATCGTGTTTTGTGTTTATGTCATAGCTAGTCTCTCCTTTCTGTTTAAAGGGATACTGAACCGAAATTTCGAGCTCATTAAACAAGGCCGGGCGGATAGGCGGGAAGCGGCAAAACCAAAAAAGATCACTCATACGGCAATATATCTGACGGATCGCCATATTTTTTTGGAAAAGAAGTGCGCGATTGAACCCGGTCGACGAGGCAAGGCACGTCACGATTCCCATTCTCTCTCCTCCTCGCTACTTCCCGTCAAGCTGGTGAACCGAAGCGAAGAGGAGAGAAGCGAGGCCGCTTTTCCTCATTCTCAAATTCTCCCGGGGGAGACTGTTAAGTCAGAGAACTCGCTTGATCGCGCCCTTCTTTTCCAAAAGTATGGCCATCCGTTTGAGATATCGATGTACAAGGGATGTTTTGGAGTTCGTAGCATCCGGTTCAACATTTCTGCAGCCTTACTTTGCGAAATCCAAATTTCGGTTCAGTATCCCTTTAATGCTTACCAAAATGTTTCTTGTATGTTTGGCCTACAGTTTTCTTGTTAGAAAATAGTGAGCGAGGTGAAAGTACCGTAAAATACTGGGCATGCATTCAGACTTGGGCAACCCGCCACTGTTGTGTCATTGTCTCGTGATCGGGGGTAGAATCTCTTCACCACTTCCAGTATCCATACTAATTCTCATGTGACCTTGCTTTCCTAGCTAAGTGTGCAAAACGATTTTGTATGAGTCAGCTATACCAGATGGGTTTGTCACAAGGGCTACCACTCTAAGTCTCCTTTCAGCTGAAACTAGTATGTGAAATACTGCTTTGTTTGGAAGTGTCATATTTTAAATGCATAGCATTTATAGGGCTGGCCTTAGCAGTTATAGGGCTGGCCTTAGCTTTCTCGTGTTTGCAGACATAGCGCAAAACATGCAATTACCGATTGCACACACCGGAGCGGTTACTTTTTTCCAAGTGTGCGCTCGGTGGCAGCGAAGCAGAATTCAGGCACTATGAAGGCTCTTGCTGGTGGGCTCTATGTAACGCAAAAGTGGCATAGGAGCTACAATGGGGGGCATAGCAGAGTGAAGAAGGAGAAAGGGACGTGACGGCAAAATGCGTGATGGCAAAATGTTGGGACCAGCCGCGACAGGAGTCCAGTTGCCATTGCACAGCTGCCGACTGGCAGTTCAAGCACCGGATCACGGACAGACGGTTCGGTTCAGCGTGTAATGTATGCTACAGATTGTGGTTTCGAACGGACGTGAGCTAAGGCGTTCTAAATGCCACATATTCGCAAAGTCTTTTGGAAATGCCAAAGCGACGGGCAATTCTGTTTTCTTAGGCTATCTGTCTTCGTTGTGACCGTGCTAGACGAGGATTATTTCGACATACTAATGCGATATAAAAAAAAAGATGCTGGTTAATGGCAAAAGCTGGTGACATATAGTAATAACAAAACATAATGAGGGATGCAATGGGTTATTTTTATTTGTAAATTGTTTTTGATTCATTTCAGATGAGGAGACTGACATAGTTGATGAAGCCCTTTACTTCTTCAAGGCAAATGTCTTTTTTCGCACCTATGAGATCAAGGTAAGTCAGTTTGCTGTGCTGGCTGCTTCCCGTCCGTTGGGAGCTTGAATTCACTTGCATCTCTGAGGTTAATTACTAGCATATTTGTTTATTATTTTCTAGAGCGAAGCTGATCGCGTGCTCATTTATTTGACGCTCTACATTTCGGAATGTTTGAAGAAACTTCAAAAGGTAAGTGACACCTCGAGAGCCCCATTCTTCAGGTGTTGACATTCGGATAACAGTAAACAAGCCAAAAGTTTTTCAAAATGTTGTTTTGTACTGGGCCTAAAAGTAAACTTGGCTGGTTTTTTCTTACTACTTTGAGCTTTGTCTTTTTTTAAGCGGCTATTGATTTACATGCTTCAAAAAATTTTAACGAAAAACAAAAAGTAATCCATTGGCGTACCAAAAAAAAAAGAATCTAAGTTAGATATGCTGTCTAACTTTAGTGGCGTTAGCAACAGGGTGACTGGATAAGTTTCTTTTAAGAAGAAAATAATTACAGCTACATTTATACGAAAAGTTATTGTTACAATTACCTTAATAAAGATGAAAGCACCACATTTACAGTTTACGGTTACTTTTTTTGTTGGCTTTCTAGTGTCACAATAGGTAGCATGAAAGTTCAAGGGAAAGCAAAAAAATCAAGTTTGTTTCATGGAGTAATATGCACTTTACATCTGTTCTAAGCGACCAGTAGCTGCTTTTTGAGTTTTCATCAACTTCCTTCTCCTGATGTTGAATACGTCCCAGCCTTCGGTAAACAAGCATCCGACTTGCGTGCTTGTTCAGCGGGAAAGGCAAGGTTCCTTCGACGAATCGCGGGCTGCAACTTTTATCTCTATCACGCTATGCCAAATCATGGTGCTAATTGTGGTATACAAAACAGATACAGTAACCAATCATTCTTGGTTAGAATGACTGGTTGCTGCGCATATCTGGTCCCTCAGCTAATGTGGTCCAAAAGAGATGGGTTAGAAGCAATAAGGGATGGCATCAGAAATGGTGCTTGAAGCTGGGCCCTCCTTTCCCACCCACCAGTCTGCTGAGCTTTGCTACCCAAACTTTGTGGCTACATGTAGATAACATGTTATGTAGAACATTCCAATGTCTATGACAGTGGTTCTCAAATGGGTTTCTGTGAACCCGCTGGGGTTTACAAAGCCTATTTTGGGGTCTGTGAAGCCTCGCCTAAACCCTCAACAAAACCTCCCCCTCCCCCTTTTTTCTTAAAAAAAAACAAAAAAAACTTTTTGTTGTACAGCTAGGTGGCGCACGCTACTGCCCATTATAAAGGGTACAGCCATTACCATCTATCTGTCCATTCATCCCTTTTACTTGATGCTTCTCACTTGTCTATAACAGTAAAGGATGCCCTTTTCACGCTGCAATTGTCTTATTTTACACCCCCCCTTCCCTCACTGGCACCGGGTCCTCCATCACTTTGGCCGGTCCCGAGGGGGTTTCCGACCCATCTATGCTTGAATGCTTGAGAACCACCAGTCTATGTAACAAGAAACTATATAGAGTATTTCAGTGTCTAAAAATTGAGAGCCCATCGAAGCGTGGGCCGTACGCACAAATGCTGCAATTGGCACTAATCAAAAGGCCTTTACTGGGACGGTTTAGCCCCTTGCCTACTTATTTTTTTTTTTCAGGGAACGTACAGCAAAATTTTAGTTAAACGGACAATTTGCATCAAAATAAAACAAAAACATTTTCTCAACTTCCAGGTGTGGTATCTTGCTCTAAATCAGGACTTCTGGTCCGAGTCCCACTGACACACAGTGACCTAAGTTGATGGAATGCTCGCAGAATTCGTTTTGTTTTCATCACTTCCATCACATCCATCAACCTATCGTCCGATTCCGAAAAATCATAAAGGCTGAAAGATTCGTCATCACATATGCCTGAGCATTAATCACTTTCAAAAAGAAGATTTTGTATCTCTTCATTGGCTAAAGCTTTAGCGCAAACGTTTACAAGCAACTGTTTTTTTTTCTCAACTAAAATGGGGCTTTTTTTTGTTTTGCCGAAACAGCAAAACAATTGAGCAAACAACCCAAGGTAAATGGTGCAATTGAGGTGGTTTTGCCATCCGCCCGAAAGTGTGCTACACAAGCGCCATGACCGAAACATGAGCCACACTCGTGGTCGGGCTTTACGGTCCATAAGAGGTGGGACGAGTGACACTCATTACTAGTAGGTAAGGGGTTAAGCTGAGTCGTTTTGGGCTGAGTGTTTGCACCTTGGCACCCAGCTTTTGGAAAAAACGGTTATTTGGTGGTTGTAGCATACTTGCTCGGTTACTTTCAGTGAAAGTAACGCACTGCAACTCAAAGGGACGAAGTTGGGTCACCTGTTACTACTCAGCACAATTAACAGGCATTGACACCATTGTTACCAACTAAGATCGAAACATGTGTTGCTTGTGGCCAAAGGTCTGCTAAATGCATAACCTGCAGATTGCAGGTTATGCATTCCTGTTTTAGAGTGTATTGTATGCCTCATTTGGTACTGATTTGCTTGAAACACAGCAGACTTTTCACAAGGCAGTTGTATTTTTCTGGATTCTTATTCAAACATGCATAAGGCTAACACAATGATGCAGGTAGCTGCGAAGGCTGTGCTTATTTGACACTGATGTCTCCAGCTAGCCTCGAGTGTATTTTGTCATACAATTTGTGGGGTCTCCGATGTGCTTTGATTTTGCCCTTCGTTCACCAGTGCCCTTCTAAAGGTAGCTCTCTGTTCTCCTAGTGTTCAAACAAGAACCAGGGTGTCCAGGACATGAAAACTCTGGCCATTTCAAAGTTTGATATTCCTGGGGAGGCAGGCTTCCCGCTGAACCCAGTTTATGCCAAGCCCTCGTCACCCGCAGAAGCTGGTAAGCTCTGCGTAAAGTCGGCATAAGCGAGTATACAGCGACCAGCACTTTGGCTGACTTTACAGAAACTTTTTCTGTGTTTCTGAGTTCTTGATAGAGTATTCATACAAAACTCACGAGTAAGAATTATAGTGTAGGACGATGGAATAGCCATACCTAATTGCTGGTTCGCACATTTGTGTTTGAACATGCTCGAGTGCATTATGTTCCCTCGTAGCCGCTTTCAACTAGAGAATACACCGGCACCCTGATAGCCCTGGAATATTTCTGACTTGGGTATAAATAGATTAGAGGTTTTGCAGTATTTGCAAGATAAAATATATGCACTATTTATGAGGAATTTGAATGAGGAAAGCGAGAGAGATGGAGGGGTTATAGAAGTGGAGAAGAAAAGGAAAATCTAGCACGTTAAAGGTTGATTTAAGGGAGGTCTGGGAATGACAGCCTCAACTGCTCCGAGGCACTAAGTCGGCCGGGTCTCGTGCTTTTTTCTTTAAAATTTAGCCACTGGTTTTTATTCAGACAATTTAGTCTGAGTTTATAGCTGTCTCTGCCCTTTTGACGTGACTCCGGATTTCAGTTTCACATTCCTTCCGGTTGCGACGCTCGAGAACGTCCCGATTGCTTAACCATGGATTGGCATTATTGTGGCTGACAGGCATCCTTGCCTTGTCATGCATTCAGCAGTGGAGGTAGCTTTCGACCTTTGACAATAGACTACTTCCATAAAGCCCCGCATGCAACACGGCACGCGTTGCACTCTGGGAACTAGTTGGCCATGGAGGCGAGTGGCATGGTTTCGGTTTCGATCGACACGTCGACAAGAGATTATACACAAAGCGTGGACCATTAATACCCGTTATCTCATGTTTTCTGGCCCCGAGAGCATCATTTTTGGTCTCTAAACTAACCTCCAGACCTCGAAGCTTTAGCACAAGCCCGAGACGTATAGCTTGTCTTAACACATGATTGTTGTATTTTTGTACTTGAGCCTTTCTGTTAGCTTTTCGAGGTATGTGGACGAGCCAGTGCTGGGAATCTAGACGCTGCGAAGCTCAGGGATCTTGCTTGTGTACGAATCAACAAACTGTAGCAACCAATAAGTATGCATACAGCGAGCTCGCGCCTTTACATTAGTGTTGTTGATCAGAAAGTTTGTTTCGTGCGTCCATAGACAAAATATAACTTTTTACAATTACTGGTTTTCTTAATACGCCTGAGTACGCGAGAAAACTCGGAGGCGCCATTGAAAAGCTCCATTTGAACACACTTCTTATCTCTTATCTGTACGGAACCGCAGCACAGCACGAAGTGAAGTCACCACCCGCTTGCATTCCACTAATATTCAACATCGCTTATGCGCATAAAGTTATCCTGCAATCCTATAGGCACATTCGCACATAGAAACCGTTTTAAGAAAAGTGTGAAGAATGTCGCACCGTTCGTCGGAAGTGCGCCGACGGGGATGAACCCCTATGCGGTTCGCCCAACGAACGAAATTATTCAAAGCACATTTGACAGTTGAATGGCCATAATATTTGTTATGTGTTTTCTTTCTTCCTGACTGAGTATGCCGAGATAATTTTAGACACACCTGTCAGACACTGATCTTGGGCGTCAGTAAAAGCTTGTCCAAAAAGACTTAGCGAGGAGTAGGGGACGCTTGTTAGGGCTCCCGTCGTAGCTAGCCGATCTCAGCGTTTGCGAAAACTTAATCTTCTATCAGCATAAATTATGAGTGGGAGATAGATGACACGAGGAAGACATCATGGTAACTTTTCTGCAGTAGTAAGGTCGAATTTATTGTGTTTCCTTAAAAGTTTGTGCGTCAACGCTGGGCTCAGCTTTGATACTCCTGTGAGGATGCGGCTTGCTTTTCGCCCCATTAAGTAAGAAGAAGCGGACGTTTGGCAGACAAAATACGTGTGGGGCTCAAGGTGACCAAATTTCAGTTGTAGTTCACTGGTACTAGAGGGGATTATTAAAATTGAGCTCAAAGAAGCACTCGAGGGGTGAGGTGACTAAGCCACATCTTACTACGTTTTCATACGCTCGCACAATATCCGGTGTTTGGGGAAACAAGGAAAGTGCCCCGGCCTTCGTTTTGTATTGCTCGAGAATGAGTGTATTGTACATTTGTGAAAAGTCTGATAATCGAAAAAGCAAGCAGCGCGTTCGGTCGCGGCGTGATAGCATGAGATGAAGCTGCTCAATCGAAACCAAAACTGAGTGGCCAACTAGTTCCCAGAGTGCACTGCGTGGTATTTCGCCGCGATGGGGCGCCTCGGTTTTGGAAGAAGTCTATTCTCAAGAGACACCTTTTAAAGGCTGCATCTCTGTCGGGGCCTCTCAAAATTTCCATAGCCAAGGAACCACTCTTCGTCTTGGCCTTGATGGAATAAAGCGGTGCAGCGGTAAATGGACCTCGCAAACAATAATGCACATAGTGGGCACGGTTTAGCTCATAGTTATGCATCAATTAATGCCTCAGATATGCTAAGATGCAGTTTAGGCTGGAAAGCACTTAAGGGTAAGGACAGTCGAGGAAATCTGGCAACCTTTGAAGGCACCTTGAGGTATCCAGCTTAAAAACCATACTCTGTGTAACAGATGTTTCATATTTTTTAAATTCTTGGAGTGCAGGGCATTTGGATTGAATCTCCTGCCTGGAACAGCCTGTCATCTGTTCAGTGTCTACCATTCTTCATGTCTTCACAAAGTGGCTCATCTCTTTGCTTGTCCTTGCCCCACTTGCTTACAGAGACCATGCGAGCTTACCTGACGCAGCTGCGCCAGGAGTGTGGAGCACGACTCTGCGACAGGGTGTTTGACGGCGAGACCGGCAAGCCGAGCAAGGTGAGGAGGCTGGTACCTCAGTGCTTGCTGCTCTGGTTTTGTGCGTGCATGTTGAACAACTACTTCTTTGCACCTCCTCTTTGACTTTGTGGAAGACATAAACTATTTAAACGCTGCGCATTTAAATGTTGAGTGTCAAACTCTGTGTGCATTTTGACTGGGAGGAAGGGAATAGAGTTGTTCTATACAAATGTCACTGATTTTTTAGGGGGCTTGAAGTCAGATCTCTTGGTTTATTGCCTATCTGCACTGCTATTGAATTCATGCGCAACGGAGATGCTATTCAGCAGAACTGAAAGATCACTTAGACAAAAAGGATTGTTTGCTAATGGAGGGAATCGACTTCGGTCGCCAGTATATTTTTCAACAATATTTCACATAGAATACTATTGCTAAATATACCATAACTTTACGGGGCAAGTGATCTTGATTTTATCAGATTCTTTAAAAAAATGGGGTGCCAGTTACAAGGAAGCTGTCTTCACTGTGTGTTTATGAGGCTTGGTGGACGTTAGATAAGGTGATAGCTGACATGATAAGTTGGCTAATTAACACAAATCTGTTAATTATCTTTTTAATTAATGGGTTTTGTAGTAATCCTTGGTTTAAAGGCAGTTAATATTAGTGGCCAAACCAATTCAAACAATTGGCATAAAGACAATTGTATTTCAGATATGCAGCAATCAGTTTTTGCCTTTTTTTTTCAAATGATTTCAGTACTGAATGTGGAAAAAGCACGAGAACTCCTGTTCATGATGGTGCGTGAAAGAATAACATAGGTACTCGTTTTTTGGTGCTTTGTCATTACCTTGGCAGCATGATGACAGCAGATCTGCCAAGGATACGCTGCTGAGATGATGATGTGTGCAAAACAACTGCATCACACTTCTCTGCATCATTGCAGACAGAAGTTTCAATGGTCTTTCTACATCAAATTTCAGAGTCGGGCAGCAGAAACGCAAAAACGAATATCTTGAAAGCCTGTTGGCATTTCACAAACTATTAATTTAGTGTGGATGGTTGAGTGTGTTGGTGTCTAAATTACAATAATGCGAGAGGGACATGAAAGACAAGCCTCTCTTAAGGCTGCCTTTAAAACTGCAATTTCCACATGACTCGTAAAACCAGTAACTAAAACATTAATTATCAGGTTTTAATTAGCCAACTTGTCAGGATGGTGACCTTCTTGTCTAATGTCCGAACAAAAATACAGAACTGAAAATCAGAATAGACTTTCAGTTCTGTATTTGTGTTTGGCAAAATGGAGTATATTTTAAGTAGACTCCTTTTGTCAAGCAGTCATCGGCCCCCAGTATCTATGTGGTTCACTGGGGCAGTAATGGTATTAAAGCGCAGCTCTTGGGTGCCCGTTTCCGTTTGAGCGGCAGCGCCGTCGGGGTAACTGCGCATTGCATTATGGGACGTTTCCCATAATGATGTCGCATGTGACGTCCCAAGGTTCACGAGTGACGTCACGTCACACGGTGCCTAAATTTAGCGGAAAAATTTCCCCGTTAAAATTAGCAGGTAAATATTTTCGCTAAATTTAGAGGAAAAAATTTACCCGCTAAATTTAGTGGAAAAATATACCCGTTATATTTAGCGGAAAAATGTACCCACTAAATTTAGCGGAAAAATTTATCTGCTAAATTTAGTGGGGAAATTCCTCCAATAAATTCAGTGGAAAAATTTACCCGCTAAATTTAGCGGAAAACTTTCCCCGCTATACACGTTTGCAAATCCGGCTTCAGGGCGCTGCCATCTTGCTCGCTGGGGTGCGCTTGGGTGCGTCCTAATCCGATTACGAAGCTTTGCTAAGGCGTCGTATTCGGATCATGGCCGCGCCCAAGCGCACCCCACTGGGCATGATGGTGGCACCCTGAGCAAACGTGTATATTTAGCGGAAAAATTTCCCCGTATATTTAGCTGAGAAATTTTTCTGCTAAATTTAGTAGAAAAAATTTTCTCTAGTTTTGGCGTAAAAAAAAAATTCACCGCTAAACTTAGCGAAAAAATTTACCCACTAAATTTAGCGGGAAAATTCTCTGCTAAATTTAGCAGATAACACTCCCAGCTATATGTAGCGGAAAGATTTCCCTGCTAAATTTAGTGGAGAATTTGTTCAGCTATATTTGGCGAAACTTTCCCGCTAAAAGTGAGGAGAGCAGGAGGGGAGGGGAGCGGGGAGAGGAGGGGAGCAAAAGGGGAGGGGAGCGGGGAGAGGAGGGGCATACTGTCCCCTTTGTACGCTCCCTTCTCCTCCTCCTCCTCCAGAGCTGCACTCTAATTTGGTGTTACAGGGGATTGTAAACATCTTTCATTTTTTTTATTGGCATTATGAATGGCAACAGTGAATAGATGAGTTTAAGGTAGGGGGAGAGGCTTGAACCGACACAAAGAGGAACACATCTGCTGCCCTTTGTCTTTGTCAGGAACTTCACCCTCTGCACCAACCGCCTAGTGTCTGTGACTAGTACAATGCTTCAGTACCTCCCAGCCATGAAGGTGGTATTTACTTGTTTTAACTCAAATTTATGCTCGTCTGTGGCAGTGGAGCTCTTTTGGTAGTCTGGTACAGCAACCAAATGATTGCTGCCTTGGTGATGACCTTTTTGAAGAGCTACTCATGCCGATGTGCTACTAGTTTGTTTCTGAAAAAGGCTTGCAAATCCCTTTTTTCAGAATTAGAATGTGTTCATGTTTTATACCATATTTGTAACTTGCGGCACGTGGGACAATGTATGCAATACAGGACATCATTATATGTCTTTGCTCGTTAGGGAACAATTTTAGTGTTGATCTGTATTATGAGATACTTTATTGCCATTGTTGCAGAAGTTCCCCAGGAATATACCATTACTACATAAGAGACAGATGTATCTCAATCTGTATTTTGGCCTCCAAATGCATGTATCTATCTCAGCATTTGTATTCTCAAATACATTTTTAGTACCCCTGCCTGGCCCTTTTTAGTTGTAACCTTGTTTAGGAGCTAAAGAAAAAAAGACAGCAGCAAAAATTTAAAACAAAATGTTAACAATATGCCACACAATTTAAATTTGGACAGTTTATATTGGAACACCGTTTTAAATAAGAGTGGCCTAATTCAAAAACAAAACTCCAACTCCAACACGGGAGCCGTCTGCTTACCCCTAAAATGTACCTTTTTATTTCCCCCCTCCTCCCAAAAAAAAGTTTAGAAAGCTATTGGGACTGTTCAATGAACAAAACCTGAAGTTTGCTTTGTTGCACCCAAGGCTGGTTCACACACTTGTTAATACTTATGACTGAGTGTGCTCCGCAGCCTTGTGGTCTCTATGAGAGGCTGGCACTCTGGCACCATCTATGAGGAGGTCCCAGAACTAAATTTAACTAGAGTGAAGGTTTTGCAGTATTTGTGAGATCAAATGTATGTACACCCTACTCTCTATGAGAAATGGAGCTTCTTGTCAAAAGATTTTTGAGCCAATGGTGAAAGAATGATGAAAGAAGTGTGAAAGACATAGGACAAGGGAGGACGGGAAAGGACAAGTGTTTGTCCTGTCCTCCCTTGTCCTTTGTGCTAATATTTTTATAATGTTCAACCAACTAGGCCACCAAGTTGTTTTCTTATTATTTGGAAATCGTAAGGTGCCACAACTTTCTGATAGATGGTGCTAGTGTGTTCTCTCGTCAAAAAAGATCATGAGATCGCACAAGCACAACTGGTCATAAGTAGTCGCGAATGAGTGTGCCAGCCTTTGTGGTAGCATAATTGGATACCCCCCAAAGGTGCAGCGCCAAAAAGTGCTTGTTTGATAAGTTATAAGATTTGTTCCAGGCTGAAAGGAAAGAAGAAAACCTTTGTGCTTTCATCGTGTTAATTAGTACGAGACTGAAGTAGTGCCTGCATCCCTTTGACTTGCAGTGGTGGCTCTGCTTTGCAAAGAGGAAATTTATGGACAAGAGCCTCTCTGGATTTGGACAGTGAGCGTGCTCGAACACGACGGTGCACGATGCGACTCCGCCACCTTCCTCACCTTGTAAATTATAATAAATCAATCACTCTGAACTGCCACTAAAAAGTTGTAATGTCTGCTCCTAGCAATACTGTTAACAGTTTTTGAACCCGCTGCTTGCACCTCTCATTCGTTGCTCATTTCCTCCGTCACCACAGCCTCTCCTTTCTTTTTAGCCCCCTTCCCTGGAGAGTTTAGGAGCTTCTGCATTGGAGAAAATCGAGGTTGAATGTGGACTATTAATGATGCTTCCCGCGTAATATGTTGGCCCATCTAAATTAGTTATTTGAAAATGAGTAACGAGCAAAAGAATTTCAATGAGTAATGCAGTGGCACATTTGTGGACCTTGACAAATAAGAAACTAGAAAGTGCCAATCTGTTTTCCCTAGAGTAAACTCTATGCTATGCTTACAAGGCAGAGTATTGCAAAGGTCCCCTTTTGCATGCAAGTATTCCAGGAATGGCTGGTGAAGGCGAGCAGGTTGAACATGAATACATAAAATTGAAAGAATAAAACACAGAGGACCACCACTTTCTTTATGTATTCCAGGAAGCAACCGTTGCTGTTGCAGGACATGCGAAATACTCGATAAGAGTCTTTAAATGAAATTAATCAAGCACAATTCTGCATACTCCAATCCGAATAGACCATTAGCTACCGAAAAAATAATTGATTGCTCAGGTTACCTTTATATCTTCCTTAATAAGTGTTGCTAATCGTGAACATCCACGAGTGCAATACGCTAAGCCACCTGGTGTTACACTGCTGAAAATATGGCAAACTGACTCCGAAGTTCCAAAATGCATGTTGGGCAAACTATACGAAAGCACATAGTATTGTAACACTTTTATTTACGCGTGTCTCTTGCCCCAATCTGTTCCCTGCTTGTCCCTGACATGACGTCTTCCTCCTCTTACACTCGTCGCGCTATTCCCCCTCCGAAAAAAAAAAAAAAAACAATTCTGATTCTCATTTTGCCATATTTACTCGCATAATGAACACACTTTTTTCTTCTGAAAAATTTACACACATTTGGGGGGTGCTTTTATTACGCAGGGTAAAATTTTTGCATTTACACATTTTGCGCAAATGTCATCTTAGGTGCCAATATGACACGGCGCGGTACAGTGGCACGTCTTCACTGACTTCACTGACGGAGGCGCTTCCATGGCTGGTCGTGGGCGTGCCACAGTAACCATGCTCTATAAATTGCGAAGTTTTGTAGGGCACTTTTGGCACGCCTTTTGCCGAAAAAAAAAGCGCCCTACAAAGCTCACTCTGCACGGAGAGCGACACGACCATTCTTAGGCCTAACCACTTTCACGATATCGCTGTTCGAAAGCGGATCACAGAAAACAGAGTGTTTGTTGACATCAGCACATCTAACGGACGAAGCACATCCGGGGCTGCTTCGCTAGGCGTGCGCGCCGCTTGGCTTCACGGTTGATCACTTGCGCAACCACGCAATTCCAGCAATTACGAGAGTAGCTTGGCTTGGCTTGGCTTGAGTTGGCCTGGCCGCTTGGCGGCAAAAGAAAATTGGTGGGCTTGATGGCTAGCCGGCTAAGATGGATGCAGTTCAAGATTTGCGGAGCCGAAAATTACAAATGTGTTCATTGCGCGAGAAAAAAAAAAAGGTCCAAATATTGATGCTTGTTGTGGGGGGTGCGTTCATTATGCAAGTAAATACTGTCTGGACCGGTTATAATGAAGTCGGTTATAACGAAATGGTGGATATAGCAAAGTGATTTCCGATTCCCATTGACTGTTATAACCGGTCTCGACAGTACGATAGATAGAGCTGCCCTCGTAGCGAGCAAGGCAGTTCCTGTGTACTACAAACATGCGGGAATGGGTCTTGTGTCTCTCATGATACACCACGTCGTTAAGACGTGCGACAACAGTGAATGGCCTTTGCCAGTTTCTTTAAAGGTTCGGTGAAAGTCCTTGTTTTTTTAGTGGGTTATACAGCCACACTCCGTCACCCGGTTCAAAAGCCTCTTGCGTGCTGTGCTCGTCATAGGGTGGCTTCATGCTTCTCACGAAGTCATGGGTCTGTTCAAGACGTGTCATCAAGTCATTCATGTATGACTCTGATTGAGAGGGACAGTCTGGTGGTCTTGCGAAGGCGAGGTCGCATGGCATATGAATTTCCCGCCCAAAGAGCATCGTAGTAGGTCTATACCCAGTGACTTTATGGACCGCTGTTCGGTAGGAGTACGGAAATAAAGGAACAAAGTCGTCCCAGTCGTCTTGGTGGCTGTTAAAAAACATAGCCAAATGCTGCAGTATGGTGCTATATTGAACAGACGATGCAGTGCTGTCGTTCTTGTCTTGGTTATGTTAAATTGTTGACAAACGTCTTGAAATACTTGGGGCTCAAAGTTCCGCCCTTGGTCAGAATGCAGCGACAAGAATACGCCGTCCCAGGATATCCAGTGAGTCACCAGAGCATCTGACGCAACAGGGGCTGCTGTTGCGTCAGATGCTCTGGACTACTTTTCGGTCTACTTTTCGAAATGGCTGCTGGCCATTGCGAAGAGTAGTCCACAGTGACGAGTAGATGCCGGTTTCCAGTTTTTGATCGTGGTAATGGACGTAGAACGTCGATACGTTCAAATAGTGCTCCACTGATGCATTTTTGATGTGGCACGTGCGTTTTCTTGTGTGGGCCCTTACACGAGGCGCACATGTCGCATTGCCGGCACTATAACCTAACGTCATTATGGCACTGCGACCAGCAGAAGCGCTCGCATATCTTCTGAAGAGAACTATTGACGCCAAAATGGCCTCCTTCAGGACTGCTGTGAAGCTGTTTGGAAACCTGGCTGCGGAACTCGGGTGGTGCCACCAGCTGCCACATGACTCAGTCACCAGTAGGTGATTCCCAGCGTCGATACAGAAATTTTGCGCAATTCCGGTGTGTCCCACTGGGCCCAATAGCTTAGGACGTCTGGAGAAAGGTGCGATATCTCGGTACGTGGTGGCTGGCGACTGCTTTGCTTCCACTGGACACAGGCTGATAGCAAGGTCGCACAACTGGGCTTCTTGGATCTCTTGAGGTGACCACACGTTGTTAGAGATGGCTACCTGGCAGAACATGTCTGTCGAGGTTGAATTTGGGCAGACCATGCTCAAGCACTGTTGACACGATCCCTCACTACATGGTTGTCTGGAGAGGGCGTCAGTATTGCTGTGATGTGATCCGGCACAATGTTTGATCTCAAAGTTGTACTGCTGGAGTTGTTCTAACCAGCAAGCCACTTGTCCTTCTGGCGGTTTGAAACCATGCAACCATGTCAAAGCTGCGTGGTCTGTCTGAACAATGAATTTCCTGCCGCACAGTAGTGATTGAAGTGAGAGTGCCTTGACTATAGCAAGAAGCTCGCGTCTTGCGGTGCAATAGTTACGCTCTGGTTTTGTTAAGGCTTTGCTGTAGTACCCAATGACTCGCTCGTGGCCCTCTTGTTGGGATAGAATGCCACCGGCCACAGTGTTGCTTGCATCAGTATCAAGAATGATTAAGGCGTCATCTCTTGGGTAAGCCAATGCAGGGGGCGATGTTAATACCTGCTTGAGTGCCTCAAAGGAGTCTTGACATTCACAAGGACCTGTTGAACACCCTGGACTTCTCAGTCAGGGCATAAAGCGGTTTAGTGACTCGTGAAAAACCAGGAACAAATCGCCGGCAGTAAGTCGCCAAGTCAAGGAACCTCCGAACGTCCGCACCTGATGTCGGGGTCGGCCAGTCGGTTCTGGCACATAGCTTCGTTGGGTGAAGAGAAACTCTAATGGCTGAAATGACATGCCCTAGGTACCGAGTTTCCTTAGCAGACAGAGTGCTTTTTTTAGGAGTTAGTTTTAGGTTTGCGTCCTGAAGTTGGTGGATAACCAGCTCAAGATTTGTCAAGTGTCAGGAGAGCATCTTCCCAAGGACCATTATATCGTCTAAATCAGTGGTCTCAAACTCATTTGAGTGTGGGGGCCTGATATCCCACAGTGAGAAAGGCCGAGGGCCAACGTTATACGGGAAAAGGGGGGGGGGGGGGGGAAGGGGGGGTTAAACTATTTAAAAGGGAAGAGACCTCGTGCTCTACGCTTTTTGTAAACTCAGTTCTGACATTGGCATCTTTAGATCTAATTTGTTTCCATGACTACTTTGGGGCTCTGACCCGAGAATTAAAATGACATCGTCCCTCCAACCTGCTGGCATTTTTAATAGAACAACAGAGCAATTACACCGTCGGTCCCCTTGCTCAATTCACTCGGGAATCAACGAAGCTCAACGCGTATTTAAACAGAAATCAGTTAATTTGACAGTTCTTGCTTTCCTGACGATTTTTATTAAAACTCTGAAAAAATGCTCCTCTTTTAATGGTGATATTTTTGAATGGCGATATTTTTTTTAAGGCATGAATCCCGAGCTCGTAGCTTTATCTATGGCAGTTGCTCCTGCTGAGCGAGATTCGCGCGGCCGAGATGCATCCTTCAACAAAGAATTCGCGCTTGGAGCCTAGTAGTTGAATTGTTGTACATTAGCAAAACCTGGGAAGGAAAAAATAAAGCGAAACAAAGGGAAAATGAACACGGATAAGTAAAAACTATGTGAATATGTTAGGAGAGCAGAGCTACCTTTCGAGCGAAAATGAATCGGCAAGATTAGATTACTATAGCACATGCAATTTCTAGCGCTCGAGGCGGGAGAACCGGGACTCATAGCCTGTTGCCTGCGGACCGCGTCCCAGCGAGTCGCGGGCCGCGTGTTTGAGACCCCTGGTCTAAATGAACAATGCACGCAGACCAGGTCAGCCCCTGAAGAACCTTCTCCATCGGACGTTGAAGCGTTGCGGGCACATTACACAACCCGAATAGCATGACTGTGAGTTGATAGAGTGGACAGCCTGTGTTGAAGGCTGTTTTTTTGACAGCCGTCGAGAACCAAGCTCGACCAAGCTTGGTTCTCGACAGCGGCCAAAGTATGTGGAACCTGACTTTACAGGTCACCTAGTTAGGGAAACTATAGTTGCCGACAGAATCAGAATAATAGGCGCGTCTTTCAAACGCCTGGCCTCCGCGCCTTCTCCCGAGGTGCACGAGGCATTGAAGCATCGTCAAAAGTAGGAAGCTTGCACTGGAGGCAAGATGACTGAAGCTTTTCCCCGTCTTTCTTGCCTCGTCGACGACCGTAGCTTTTTGGGCAAGTCAGTCCTGAACATAGGCCCGAGAGGAGCATGCCTGCAAGCAGAAGGTAGCACAAGTAGGGTGCCACCTTCGCTTGATCAAGATGTTGCAGGTTCGTCGAGGTTTTCGTGGTAATGGGCAAGCTTGCGTTTCAACCGAGACAAGCACGATGCCCCAACTTACGGTTGCGTCGATATTGACTGAAGCTTCGATAGTTCGACGCAACACCCGCCATTTGCCACTGCAATGAGGCCAGCTCGAAGCACCACTTCCTCGGGGCAAATTCTAGTGACAAGACTGGGGCTGTCAGAGATCACCCAACGGGCATAGCGCAGGCTTCTCGAGTGTTACCCTCGCGAGGATATCTGGTCATTGTGCGGATCTGCAATGAATGTCTTAAGACAGATTGTCAACATGCACACGAAAACAGAGCACATTTATCGCAGTCGCCGAGTAAGGTACCGTTGTGGCCCTTCGGCCCCCCCAAATTACGTTGCGGGTGCCGCTGCCATTTTGGTGCTTATAAAGTTATGGCAAGACGGGCAACGGTTACTATTTGAAAATTCTGACCTCCCTTTAGACTCGGTATCAAGAAGCTCGCTTGATATGGTTTTTCTCCATCACGGATTGTTCGAGCATTTCTGCAGGAGGGAAAAGCATTTCCTGCGATTTCAGATAACAATAAACATGCACACATGCGTTGCCTTTACGGGGTAGGGGTTACAAGAACCAAGAATCTTTCCACTCAGACTTTTCACAGAGATGGTTTTTTTTATTCAGTTTATGTACAGATTTTGAAATTATTTTAAATCGCACTTTCGACGACGACGCGTCCCTGGTTCACCAATCTGGCGTCGGCCATCTTTAGACCATCGTTTCACGGTACAGTCGTGCTTCTAGCTCCCGGCAAGTACAATGTATCAACGTATAAAAGTGCTGGAACACGAACGAGTTGAAGTCTGTGCAAAATAGATTATCCTTTTCGCATTCCAAAAACTAAGCTTTAGCCGAGCATTTCTATCTTGCGGCACAATCCAAGGACCATTCTTTTCCTAGCTTTTAAAAATACCCTCTAGCAATACGGCAGTAGTACACAAAATATCACAGGATCCCGGTAGTATTTTTTTTTTTTTTTTGTCCTTTCCACTGTGTCGTAATGGATGTCGGAAAGAACACCACCTGGCAAGGAGCCTCGGCCGTCGCCTCCAGGAAGCAATCTGACCGTTTACATCGTTCGTACGCCTCTTGAGAAATATGACTGCGACTCCAGTTATTGGCAGCTATATCCAGATAATCTATGTGGCAGGCATTGGAAAGGCATTTTGCAAAGAACTACAATACTTTGCAAATGCAAACACGTTCGTGACACAGACAGCACTTCACAAGTGACACACACACAAAAATGCAGCTTGTGCAATATGTGGGACTCCTTCCAGAGCTCCAGCAGTGTCAATGGCCTCAAAACAACCTGTATCAGTGTCGTGCTGTACCCGTTTACAGAATGAGTTCTCTGTACGACACTGAATAGACTTCACAAAAAGTTGGGATGCCGTGCGAAAGCGACATCTCAGCGTGAAGAAGTCTCCGTTAGAACAAAGTATGTCTATCTGTGGCAGTAATGCGAACTCACTAAAAGTATTTTCCTAAACTGTAGCCCCCGGTTACAATTAATAATTTCAAATGGCTATTAGCACGTTCGCGAGAGAGCGACGTAAACCAAGAAAAAAAAAAAAGAATCCACCCGGTAATTCTCACAAGTCAGCTTTGCTGCTATCATAAAACCAACAAAGATAAAACTAGTAAAGCCGTCGCAATTTTGCCGAAGGTCGGTCTTAAATTCTTTCACTCGGGAGATTTTGTTCACTGAAATTAGATTTCAGGCACACTAGGAAGCATTCGTGCGTGAACTTAAATTTAATCTCCCACCTTGCTCGAGTGACCGAATGTGTGCACGCGTCTTCCAGTGCGCTGCCTAGAGAGAAGTTTCCGAGCATGCTTTCAGTATGTCAATGGAACGTTCTAGTGGCACGCCAATGTAGATGATGCCGAGAAGGTAAAATGCCCATGGTTCCCACAAATGCCTGAAAAACAGGGTGCTAAAGTGAAAGCGCTCATTTGTGGGTGTTACACGTTCGGCATACAAGAGCAAACACCACTACGGTGTAAACTTGCCAAAAAAAAAAAAGGAAGCAACCAGGAACTCTAGGTGTCACAATCATACACTTGGCAACGAGTTTTGACTGGACTCCTAGCGGAAACTTATGTCATCACGATCATACCAAGTTTGAAGCTTAGGCGACGATGCCAGCACATCAGGTGGACACTAGTATGAACTTACGACTTCAACCATGAAGAGAAAAACTAGAGATGAGCATGACCTTAACGAACACGATACATCTTCTGCGTGATCCAGTTTGTATGTAGTTGGTCATTTCGTGATTCCCCGAGGCTTTATACAACACATTTCTCGTTAAGTCTTGCGGTGCACCATTTTCGACCATATGCGATAAAGGACGTTCACCATCAACCTCAGGAATGAGGTTGATGGTGAACGAGGAACGAAATGAGGAATATTCATTTACAAACATAACAAACACAAGCAGAAAAATAGAACAAAAATTGGGAATACTATATGCATTAAGCTACATGTATAACTACAACTTTACACAATAAAAATGAATCCCCAAGGAAATGAACTTCTGCTGCTCGCGGCGAACGTGGAAACCTAAACGGAGCAACGCGCTGAAAACGAGAGTAGACGAAGGTGCAGCCAAATTTTGCACACTGAGACGAGTCCACCAACCGCTTGTAGCGTGTCGTTACAAAAATAATGTACCACTGAAAAGGTGGCGGAATGGTGGATGCCACTTCGCCTCCTTTGGTCTCGACGACGAGGAAATGTTCGCTTCAATGGCAGTTCCCTGCCACACCACGGGGACGACTGTGACGATGAGAATGCGGAGTGACTCATAAATAATGGGGCGACGATTTCTTACGCAGTTCCAATTAAAGGAGGGGTGACAATGAGAGGATGTTGGTGCCAGACGCCGCACCACCGAGCTTCCTCCGCCGAAGACCCGGAAGAAGGCACACTGTGCGAGAGCTGCCGGTCGTTGCAACGCCTAAATCATCATAGTCTCGTCTTACGCACTCTCATCTTGGGGAGGTCCGTCGTTGAGTCCTGGTGCACACGAGGCTGTTTGTGTAACGACTCCGTCGTCTCCTCGCCCTGCAGGCAGAGGCGCCGCTTATGGCTTCCCTTGCCGACGTTCTTGCTGTTTTCCTGCGTGTCGTCGGCTACGATCTTGTCTTCGTCCTGGCTCGTCGGCTCGGAGTCGGGCTTTGGCTGCCGATTGCAGTCTTGGAGGGCGTCTGCGCGGTTCATCGCACCCGGAGCCGACGCGGGTGCCGCGGCGGTTGCGGCGGTTGTAGCGGTGGTTGCTGCGGTGGCCGTTGTGGCTGGTGTCGTCGCAGACGCTGCGGCCGCGACGGGAGACGAAGGGGGACCCATGCGCCTGGGTGTCAAGATGACGGGCCGAGGGAGGTCTTCCGCCGAGTAGTTCCCTCGCGACTCATGATGTTGGGGAGAGCCCGGTGGGCTGCTGGCTTCGGGCTCTGGAGAAAAAAAAAAAAGAAAAACTGTTCTTTATTTCATACGGGAGAGGTGGAGAAACAGTCGAGAGTTTCAAGGGGGCCTCGGGTTTTGGGCCCAACTTGTAAACCTCCAATAGAAACTAATTAAATTTGCACCGAGTTTCCTACTCTATAAAAAGATATTCTGCAATAAAATTTTCTCCTTCAGTCTTGCGGCAACGTGGTCCAGCTGAGGAGTGTTATTTAAAGAGAAAATCTGATACATAAAACAGGTTCGGTTCGAAGCTTGCCTTCGTCCCGGGACCGAAACACGGTGCCGGCAAGTGTATACGACTGGCAGAGTCATTGGTCTCGTAATCGGAAAACTAAAACACGAGATACACATCCTCGTAAAATTAAACGGACCTAGAAAAAAAAAAGCACATCTAAGAAAATACCTAGAAGACGCTGTTGATATCACTCTCTCTTATTTCATACCAATCCGAAAATGATTCACCCAAACAATACCACCTAGAAGGCGAGTTACCATCAGTGGATCCTCAACCCAAACAGCAAACACATTGAAGCTCCACAAGCGTATGCTGTTGCAAATGCTGCGCGTGTGAGGCAATGAAATAGGACGTTTGACTAAAACAAAACAACTGTATTGAGCATCGTTACAAGAAAGGTCCGTTCGTTTAGCAGTTCTGTCGGCGTCTGTCCCGGTCCCGTTCCCCCCGTTTCTTTCTCCGAATTCTCCCTCGTTCTCCAGTCTCGACTCCTGGCCTGTCCCCCGCTTTCCTCCTCCCCTCTTGCCCTCTCCCCAGTCCCCATCGTCGTGCTCGGGCTACTGGGGATGTCGGCTCGGGCCTCACCCGGCACCTGCTTCGGAGGACGCGAGCGGGGGCGGAAATGGCGTTCTTCACAATACGCAACATCCTCCCCCCTCCCCCAGCGATGAGCAGAATTCGTTCACTCGGATAGTTCAAGGGGGAAGAGGAGCTGGACGGGGCGCCGAAGTGTAGCCCCTCCAGGCAGGCGCACCAAACACGAACGCACGTGGTTGTCCCGACCCCGCTGAACTTGTTCTATCCGCCCCATCCTCCACATGAGCCGTGGCATTTTGTCTTCATGGACGAGGACGAGATCCCCGTCCCGCAGGTCGTTCGTGCGTGTCTCTGTTGCCCGGTGTGCTGAGCGGAGCTGGAGGAGGTACTCTTTTTGCCACCTCCCCCAGAACTGATTCAGTAGTCTTTGTCGGTGTCGCCACCGTCTGGTGACGTCCCCCCTTGTCGAAGCTGGCACGTTTTCCAGGCTGGTCGATGGGAGAGCCGTCAACCGCCCCCCCGACAAAAAGTGCGCAGGCGTCAACGCCTCCTGCTCGTGTGGAGCGCCGTGAACGGGAGCCAGGGGTCGAGAATTTACGACGGCTTCAACTTCCTGTAGGATGGTCGTCATTTCTTCGAATCCAAACTTGTTCTTTCCGAGTATCACTCGTAGGCTCCGCTTCACTGTCTGTACCATCCTCTCCCAGAAGCCGCCCCACCACGCTGCTCTTTCGGCAATAAACCTCCACTTGATACGGTTTTGTGAGCAGTGGTCCAGGAAGTGTGGGTTCCTTAGCACGTCCCACATGCCGCACAGGTCCTTTGCTGCCCTCTTAAAGGTGAGGGCGTTGTCCGTGTACACGACGCTCGGTAGTCCCCGACGTGCAGTGAACCGCTGAAAGGCCATAATGAAGGCCTCAGTCGTCAGGTTGGAAACGAGTTCCAAGTGCACGGCTCGTGTAACGGCGCAGGTAAACAGAGCGATGTAGGCCTTTTGATCCGACGGGGAACCCCTCACCAGTAGTGGTCCAGCAAAGTCAATTCCCACCACCTCGAAGGGGGCGGCCCGGTTGACGCGCTCTTCCGGCAGCGGAGCGGTCGGTGCGGAGGCTGGCCTTAGTCTTGCTCGCCGGCAGGCGTTGCAACGGTTTATTACTTTCCTGGCGAGTTGACGCACACGTGGTACCCAGTAGCGTTCACGTACTTCGTTTAAGGTATCTTGGACACCACCGTGCATCGTCCTTCGGTGCGCGTCGTTTACAATAAGTTCAGTGAGGGGGTGAGAGGGCGGTAATAACAGCAGATGTCTGACTGTCACATCGGTCTGTGCATTCTGAAGCCTCCCACCGACCCTCACTCGTCCATCCGCATCCACAAAGGGCTTCAGTAACGCGGTTTCGCTGTTCGTGCTTCGGGTTCCACCCGCTGAGCCCATTTCCGCTCTGTATGCTTCTTGAGCCTTCACGATCCAGTAATTCTCCGCCTGCTCGAGCTCCTCTGCAGTAAGTGGACCTCCGGCCCGTTCTTGCCTGTTTCGAATATTCTTGATGAAGCGAAACATGACATCCAAGCGGTAACCCTGAGGGGTCTCATTATGCGACTGTAACTGCTCAGATTTAGGAGCTCCGGCCGCTTCTCCTCCGCTGTGTGCAGCACGTGGTGTTCTTTCTTTTGTTCCTCTTGCACCTCTGGGACGCTGTCGTAGAATGCCTGACCATTAGGCCAGTTGCAAGGTTCCGTTGAAAGCCACTCAGGCCCTTGCCACCACTGTTCGCTTTCGATCAATGTCTCGGCGCTAATTCCCCTCGTCAGCATGTCCGCTGGGTTCTGACTTCCAGGACAGTGGTTCCAGCTTGCGGGGTCGCTTGCGGACTGAATCTCATTCACCCCGTTTCCTACAAACGGCTTCCATTTTGAGGGTTGGCCTCTAATCCAGTGTAGAGCAATAGTCGAATCCGTCCAATAGAACGTCTTCATCTGGAGGTTCATTGTGTCGTTCAGATAGCGGGCAAGACGTGTCCCAATCACCGTTCCCATTAGTTCTAGACGAGGGAGTGTCAGTCGCTTGAGCGGCGCTACTCGTGACTTCGCGAGCACGAGGCAAGTAGACGTGTCTCCGTCTTCGCCCTCCACTCGAAGGTAGGCGCACGACCCGTAGGCGAGTAAGCCTGCATCGCAAAACACGTGAAGTTGAACCGACCTGGCGCCTTCTGCTGGGCACCGCATGGTGCAGCGGCCGACGGCCGGAGCCTTCAAGAGTGGCAGTTCCATGCACCACCGCTGCCACAGCTCAGAAAGGTCGTCAGGCAGCTCCGCATCCCAGCCGATTTCACGTTCCCACAGCTGCTGGAATATGATCTTGACCCGAATCATGTACGGAGCGATAAGGCCCAGGGGGTCAAAAACTCGAGCTGATGCCTGTAGCACAAAACGCCTGGTGTTTGCTGCAGTGCTGACGAAATGCAATACTCCTTCCATGGGAATCAGCAATTTGTCTTGGTTGTGCTGCCACACGAGTCCGAGAACCTTCCTTTGTTCTTGGGATGTTTGTGGTTCCTCGGTCTCATCAAATCCACACTGTAGTTCCGCAGCATTGGACGTCCACTTGCGGAGTTGCATTCCGGCTTCAGCCATGATTGCGTTGGCCTCATCGTGAATCTGCCTGGCTTGACCAACGTCGGAGGCTCCGATTCGTAAGTCGTCCACGTAAAAGGCATTCCGCAAACGATCAGCTGTCTCCCTGTGTTGGTCCTTCACGTTATCCAGGTGGTGCATTAGAGTTGCGGTCAATAGAAAGGGGCTTGAGGTGGTCCCGAACGGCACTCTGGTCATTCTCCATTCTTCGATATTTGCTGCTGCTCCTGATGTTGGCTTCGTTTCGAACCACAAGAATCGGAGAGCATCTCTGTCCTCTGTGCGAACGCCTATCTGCAGGAACGCCTTCTCAATGTCAGCTGTGATCGCGACCTGAAATAGCCTGAATCGCACCAAGATTCCCACCAGGTCGGCGTTGAGCTTGGGGCCCTTTTCCAGATGTTCATTCAGTGGGCTGCATCCCGGCCTATGTGACGACGCATCGAACACGATCCGGAGTCTCGTGGTGCTGGAGCAGCTGCGTACTACTGCCTGGTGCGGCATGTAGTAAACTCGTTGAGTGTCAGCTTGAGGTGCCTGCTCGGGCACCTTTTCCGCATGCCCTGCCATCATGTAGTTCCTGATGGATCGGTCGTACTCATCAAGAAGCTGCTCGTTGTGGGATAGTCGTTTGAGGAGCCCCTCCAGTCGTTTGTGAGCCATGACTCGATTGTCTTGGAGGTCTTGTCCAGTCTCCTTCCACGGCAATGCAACTTCATAACGTCCGTCTACCTTCGTGATTGTGCGTTCAAACTGGCCTTTTACAGCCTCCAGTTCCTCACTGTCGGTTTTCGGCTCGTCCGTAATTCCAAGGCTATCGAGCTCCCAAAAGCGACGGAGTGTCGCCTCATTTTCGTCGTGCGCCCGCGTGCTGATCTTTAGGACGCAGACCATCGTGTTTGTACTACCCGACAGGGTGCTATGCAAGGAAATCGGACCCTGGAAGGTCCAACCGAAAATTGTGTTGATGGCAACCATGCCCTCATTCTCTCTGAACCGACGAACCTCGGGTCGGGTGACCTTCCAAAGCTGGTCCGATCCAAGAAGAAAACTGATGCCACGTCGAGGCTCCGTACCTTGGGTCAGTGTCATGTCCGCGATGAGTCCTCCGTCAGCCTCGATGCTCCTCACGAAGTCATGGTCCACCGGCACTTGCAGGATGTCGTTGCAAATGAAAGGTACCTCGATAGCCTCGAGGACACACTCTTTTCCGTCATGCTGACTACGAAGGCGCACCTCAACCAGCCTGCGTCGTTGGGCGCGAGTCGATGTTTCCCCGAAGGTGTTCAACTCAAGGTTCGTCGTGCCGATCACTCGGAGATTTAGCTTTCTTGAGACGTCCGTGTGTATAAAAGTTCGCTGGCTTCCTCCGTCGATGACGCCCCGAAAGTGGCTGGTTGCACGATCTCCTACGACGGAAGCTCGGAACGTCTGCAGAAGCACCCCCGAGTCCATCGTAACGTTGGAGTTAACGACGCTTGCGGTGTTGACATTGGTGCCAACGCTTTTCGGTGGGGTCCAGTTGGGGTCACACATTGAGCTTGCATGCCTTCCCCCACATGACGCACACTTCAACTTCCGTCGGCAGTCTTTGGCGCGGTGTCCTCTGGTTGTGCATCGGAAGCACCTCATGTCTTCTGCCAACCGCCTTTTCTTCTGTTCGAGTACGAGGTCGCCAGAGCAGGACTCAGTTTGATGTTGTGCAGATCGGCAGAAAAAGCAGCCGGCTGCTTTTGCGCTCAGTACAGTTGCGGTTGGCAACGTCGGGTGTCCCCGCCGTTCGATGTAGCCTTCACGCGCTGGGGTCTGCCTCGGGTGGCGAGTCTCCGCGGCAATTCCGGCTCTCTCCCTGCCTTCCACCTCGCTTCGCAGGAACTCTAAGATCTCAGTGAGCTCACCATCGGCTGTTTCAGATGAGAGTGATTGGAGCTCCGTCCGCTCTGTCTCAGATGTCCGGCCGTAGTTGCTGGTTTGCCGATGGTATTCCAGCACTAGATCTCTAGGTAGAGCCCTGCGAAGGATGTCGGACATCATCGTAGAGTAGGTTGCCGATCCAACTCCCAGGCCCCTCAGTCCACGGATGTTTGCCTGGATGTGATCGTACATCCTGCGCAGTCCTTTCGTGTCGCTCGATGAGCCGACGGTTGGCAGTGCTCGCAACCTCGCCAGGTGATCCTGTTCGATCCGTCGTTTGTCGCCGAACCGCTGCGTCAGTATTTGGGTGGCGTCGTCGTAGCAGGCTTCCGTTGCCTGCAGTCCGGCGATTGCAGCCGCCGCCGGTCCGGTGACGAGATTTCGCAGGTATTGGAACTTCTGGCATCTCGTGACGCTGTCGTTATCATGAATCGCGCCACTGAATTGCTCCCAGAAACTCTGCCATCCGAGGACGTCGCCGTTGAAGGTTTCTAGCTTGAGTTTCGGGAGCTTCACTCCGATCCGGTGACCGGGGTTGGTACGAGTCTGTCCCACCTCCGTCGGGGCTGTTCCAGATGTTGTCGCAGGTGCAGTCGCAGATGTGGTCATCTGGGTGGTCTCGATCATTTGTTCCTTTTGTTTCAGCATGTCTGCCTTGCAGCCCAGCAGCGCAATTACTCTGATGGCCTCGTCGTCGTACTCGGTGACTGTAGTGTATTCCGCAACGAGGTCTTGTTCCGATACATGTTCTTCTATCTCCTGATTCAGTGCTGGGAGTGCGCTGTTGTTGACCTTCAGCCTCTCCAGCCAGGCCGTCAGCGTGGCCCGGTCTGCTGTTTCCATCCCCACCGTCGCCTCGTTGATGATCTTTGTGTTTTGCGCACGTTTCACGCCACGCTTCGTCTTTATACGGTCCATCTTGTTCGTTCACCAACACACACACAACCTTTTCACAGCGTTCCAGGCGGTCGATAATGTTGAAAGTTCCGCTCACCTCTTTTGATGTTCTGCGTTCCCGGGTTTCGGCACCATAAGTTTCTGTTGCAAATGCTGCGCGTGTGAGGCAATGAAATAGGACGTTTGACTAAAACAAAACAACTGTATTGAGCATCGTTACAAGAAAGGTCCGTTCGTTTAGCAGTTCTGTCGGCGTTTGTCCCGGTCCCGTTCCCCCCGTTCCTTTCTCCGAATTCTTCTCCCTCGTTCTCCAGTCTTGACTCCTGGCCTGTCCCCCGCTTTCCTCCTCCCCTCTTGCCCTCTCCCCAGTCCCCATCGTCGTGCCCGGGCTACTGGGGATGTCGGCTCGGGCCTCACCCGGCACCTGCTTCGGAGGACGCGAGCGGGGGCGGAAATGGCGTTCTTCACAATACGCAACATATGCAGCTAGCATTGCGCTCATTGCGAGACGCCACATGACGTGCTTGCGGCGACACAGAGGCGAGGCAGAAGTGGAACTCAGTACGTTGAACAACGTTTTAGCGAATGCCGACATTTCATCAAGAGACACTTTGCAGGTGGGCCAAGTCGGTTAACATTTTTGTAATGAGCCACCGCAGACTGCCGCCGCAAAGGTTTTAAAAAAAAAATTGAGAAGGCCGAGAAATATATAAATACATTAAGACCTCTTCATGGTGTCCACAAAGCAACGGACAAAAGTTAAAATAATACAAAAGCAAAAACTACGGGATGAGAGGGAGTCAAACGTGCAACCTTTAACGGTAGGGAAAAACACGAATTTCCACCGCGGCCGCTTCTGCGCTCCATAACTCGAGAACGAAAAGTCATCCGAACCCGCGGCTTTCTTTATTCTTCTGGTCAAGAAATATTCCCTATGAGACATATTTTTTTCGTTAAAGTAGTAAGATCTCGACCCTTTTTACCGAAATGATTCAAGATAAAATCACCCGTATGTATTCTTTGAACGTCTCTGCAGAGGGCTTTGTATGACCAACGTGACAGAAGAGTCGTAGCACGTGTCGGACAGCGTCTGCTGAATGTCTTTTGTACGACGCATCGCGGCCATGGCTCGAGGGAGGAGCGAACTTGGCCCGACACTCACCGCAGGTCGACCCGTATGGCGTTTGCTCGACGTCGAGGGCCTCTTCGCGGGGCCTGAGTCGCCTGAGGAAGCGCTGCCGGAGCAGCACTTCGCTGCGGGAGGGCCCCGCCGGGTCCAGCATGACCGTCACCACGCTCGTGTTGTCCGCCCGCGTGTTGATCCGGTTCCACCGGAAAAGGGCCTCGTCCACCAGCATCTTGGAAGGGTTGTGCACCTGCCGCTCCTGACCGAGGACACAAAGGCAGCGCTGAGTCCAAGCGCCACAGTCCAAGTGCGCGAAGACAAACGGGTCGGCAAGAAGCCTACAGATTCGACCTGAATCTAATGAGACTGAAAGTGATATGGGCAGTTGATCGTAGACATTTTGGCAAAAAAAGGCAAGGGACGCGAGGGTTGCCGTCGTCGTGGCGTCTCGTGTTTTGGTTTCCGTGGATAGTTGGTAGAGCGACCTACGGCAGAATGGGCGCCTGTCCGATCCACTCAATGCCGCCGTGTCGTGGCAGGCAACGGCGCAACATTTTTACGTTGTCAATGGGGAAATCGAGGGATCACCTTTGAGGCCATCGTAAACGCACCGGCCGAAGACGCGTTCCAGGCACCATGGTGTGCGCTGCGACGACACAGGACATACTTAAAGGCCAACCTACAGAATCACAATCTGCTGGGCAGAAAACCAGTTCCCTGTTTCCTTCTTTGAATTCCATCATGCACACTTTTCCCCTCCTCCCCCACAGGAATGGGCCTCGGAGCTACTCCCCACAGAAAGGAGGAGGGTTTCCTTTTTTCTCAAATGGAAAGGAGGAACACGGAGAATTTCCTCCATCCTGGCTGAACGTCGACCTTTAACCAGTTGGCTCCGACTGCCGCGACATTAAATGCGGATGATCTGGGGCCCTAATCTATGTGGTGGGAAAAAAAGAGGCCGCATCTCCACGTGGTGAATGATGTTTATTGGGGCGAAGCTCTGGTGGTGCTGATGATACTGATTTTATTGTTCATAGGTAGTGCTGATGGTGCAGATTTTTTTTTTTTTTTATTGCTCATAGGCAGTGCTGAGTTCTGGGTTGCGTTTCGCCTTCATTATTACTGCTTTATGGTCGGTGAAGTGCAGAGCCAGTGGTTCTTCTAGTGGATCAGCTTGGATCCGCTAGAAGCCGTGGGAACGCATCTCCACCGCTTAAGTCAACGGTCCATGTCAGAAAGAGATTGTGTGGTATGAATTGTGGTTATATACGCAGTTGAGCATGTGACCGCAGCACCCTCTCGTCTATAAACGTTGAGCCAATGCATGCAAAGTTTAACGCGACTATATACGCATTTGACCGCAGCGCCCTTTCCTGTATAGACATTGAGCGGCTACATGCAATGTTGGAGTGTAGCGTAGTGGTTAAGACGTCTGCCTCGTAAGCAAGCGGTCCTAAGTTCAAACCCCCATGCGGGCGTACATTTTTTTTTTTTTTTTTTTTAAAGTGGGTTGATCCTGGAGGCAGTGCAATCAATGTGAGCACGGACGCCGGACGGGTGGACGGGTGGACAAGGCTAAGGACCCTAAGGAGCTTCGCCCCTAAAAGAGACTGGGACCTGCTGCGATTGGCCGGCTCTGCGCCGCCGACCAATTGCTGCAGGTGGTGACGTCCCGGTCCCGCTTCATCCTGCCGTGAGGACGTCTGGTTACCTACGGACGTGCACTAAAACCTCAATACAGCTAACTCTTTACAGAAGCCGCACGAATGTAACGAAGATAAGTTATGGTAATGCGTAATGGCCAAAAGGTTGATTTCCAGCTAGAGGTTGGACATACAAGGAAACATGCCTTACACTTCTTTCTGCTTTGTAACTCTTCTTCCGTGTCAATTCCTTTGAGTGCAATGTGACACAAAATATAAAAACAAAAGCCCGCTTGAAAATTTACACTGTGCAGAAAATCTGTGTCTATTAACGTAGCGAAGAAGCTGATGCAACGGAGACTTTGCTCAGTAAAATTGCAGCACTGAGTCTAGGCACTCTGAGACAAACACGTCGGCAAGGAGCTGACAGATTCATTCGGAACCTAGGCAGAATGAAAGCAACGTAGGCTCACCGCGGACCCAGTCTGGGCAGCCTCGAGCACGGCCCGTTCGTTGTCCCTCTCCGCCTCCTGGACCACCTGGATGGCGTCCCGGACGCTCATCATGTTCCAGAGGCCGTCCGAGGCAATCACAATGCACCGATCGCGCCTGGCGTCCAGCTGCACCACGCTCACGTCTGGCTCGGGGCTCACCACAAACTCCCCCTCCTGGTAGTTGTAGCTCCAAAGGTCCCCTGCATGACCAAGCGTGCGGGCGAGGCTTGCTTAGCCACCCGACTCTCGCCCGAGGATGGTAGGCCGTCGACAAACTGACTACTGATACCACTGACAGTGTCTACAAAACTATTGGTATAGTAGTATGAATACAGGCAAAAACAAAGGGAGAGGAGACAAGAGCGCACAAGGACGCCTCGAGCTCTTGCTGGAATGGTTAGTTGAAAGGCGGTGCAAAGCTAGCTGCCCTTGTCTCCACTGCACTCATCAACGCAGTCGAATGCGAAAGACGAACACCAGATGCCGGCGTTCTGCATTTTAACGCTTTCGACGAGTGAGTGCAGTGGATTCACTAATCATTCCAACCAGAGATTGGCGTTCTGACGTCCCCGTGTGCTTTCGTCTCCTCCTCTCTTTCACTTTCTCAGCACATAGCTCTTACAGTCCTAATAGTTTTCTACCAGAAGTTCTATGCAACGGCTCCGAGATTTATCATAGAATGACAAGCATCCAAAACATCACTGGTATCCTCAAGAAAATGCGGGAGCAGTCAATGCTCATTTGCCTACCGTAAAATCCCGTAAGGGCGCCCTCCCCCGAGAGATTGCCCATCCTGTTTTTTCTGGCTAAATATCTGTAAGATAAAAATTCCGAAACATTGCACACCCCCGATTCCCGTCAGACATCACGCGATGTCCGACGGGAATTGCATCAATCACGCGATCTGTGGTACCGGTACGTATGAAAAGTGGGTTTGCAGCAGGTTCCTGCATTCTCGTCCATAATCTGTGGATGCAATATTGTTTCCCGTGACATGCGAGTTCCAGCGTTTTTTTGTCCGTGGTCTGCGCACGAGATATCGCATCCACAGCATGCAAGTTTAGCCAGTTTTTGCGTGTTTGTCGCACAGTTAAACACGAATCTGCTGCATCCGCAGTTTGCACTATCCTTTCCCATGGCATAGGAGTTTGTAGCCGATTCCGAAGTGTATCGCATTGTGAAATGCTAATTTGCCATGTATGCAATCTGCAGTATCAATTCAGATGGCCCACCACATGTTTTTTGCCATTTATCTTTTTCATTTGGGTGGGTTCCCTTACGGGATTTTATGGTATATCTTAATTGTTCTATCACATTAAGTCTAAGGATAGGGAGGCAGATGCACTAAAGTGCTTCACCTTTACATGACCAATTAACACAAATGTTACTCAGGATAGTAGTGTCTTCCAATATTTCATGTGCACTAATTTTTGCAGAAGAGGCAATTATTAAAATTTTATGAAATTACTTTCCAAAGTTATTTTCTTGCTTCTGTGGTTCGTGAAAGTTGCAACAAGAAGATACTTCAGTCATGAAATCAACTAGGTCACGGTGCAAATACGAAACGTGTGGAAAGAGTCGACCTTCCTTCTGCTTCAGTGCAAGCTCCTAGGTTAAGTGCTTGCGAGTTTGTTTTTGCTCCATCAGAGCTGCCTGGAGGCTCTGCTATACTTCTGGTACATTTCCAACAAACAAAATGAAGCCAGTAATCTAATTCAATCCACTTAATAAAAGAAAATATGCCATCGACGAAACACCGCAGGAGCATGTGTCGACGAAAAATTTCCAGGAAATGTCCTAGTGTCGACGAAAAGTGGTTGACGGAATGTGTTTCCACGAAATGGGCTTCAACGAACAGTGTTTCCACAAAACGAGTGACGAAATGGCATGGACCTTTTGAGAGGTAGGGGCGCATACAAAACGGGTCCGGAAGAAACGGGGTAAGCCGTGTCGCCTGTCCATACCCAAGGATCGGGCCACGGCCAGGAAAGGGATCTTGTCAAAGTGGGTGCTCCTCCGGACTGGTCCGCGGTGGTTGATGGGCGGCCGGTTCCAGACCACTCGATCCACGCCGGACCTGTTCATCACCAGGCCACCCGCACTGTAGATGCGGGCTTTCTCAGACGGCGACTCTGGCTTGTGGTCTCTCGTCAGGGGTTGCGCCTGCCAGTCCTCGTCGCCATCTGCAACCGACAGCAGCAGATCAGGACAGATGTGGGTCATAGAAAGTGAAGCAAAGAAACAGAAACACATTGGAGAACGAACGAGAGACAAATGCTTGCCTAAAGGGGCCCTGCAATCATATTTAAGCGTCTACCTTTTATGCGGTTTCCACGTCTCTTGGGGTTCGGGCAAGCCAGCGGGCACGGAGAGAATACCTAAATATCAGTGCGTCGTATTTTAACCGGACGACGCGAAAACCTCCTTCACCAACGAGGGCGGCCCGCAGTACCGAAAGAGCGCAAAATGTGACGTCTTTGGTCCTGGGCTTACTAATGGTCAGAGCCGCTAAAAGCTTCTTTTTAGTCGAAATACAAAATACAAGTGGCGCGAACCACTTCAGTTCTTTATAAAAGGAGTTTTTGTTCAGTATTTTTGATCAGAAAAGAAACAAATGCAGTTTATAAAGTACGAAAACAAGAAATGACCCGTTGACATACCCCCCACCAAGCGGTGGAAAAGGCGGCGCACACTAGAAAGGATTAGTGGGATCAGGCGCTGACACGGAAAGGTCCCGGATGTATGCGGCGGCGCTGCGGTCGTATCAACAGAAGATCCAACCGGCTCCGAGCGTTCCGAAGGCCTTTGGCGAGAAGCTTTGTCTTACGGTTCGGCCATTTCACGGTATGGCAGCGCGAAGTGGCTCCCATTCTGAACTGATCTTTACCCCGTGTTCGCTATCGTTTGTGTCCAATGAAGTGTCATGCCAAATTAGTGTTTAATTGCGCAGCAAATGCAATGAGAGCCGCTCTGGCTGCCCGCTGCATACAGCCTATCCAGAACATGCTTTAGTGGCGCCCTCTTGCGCCGTTGATACGGAGTGCGGCAGCCGTGAGCGCTCGCGATGAGCCCACTATCCCTCCTCTAGTTCACGGCCGCTCAAGCAACCAAGGACGTCATGAGGGAGGTTATTTTTTGCTTGTTTTTGTCATTTTAATTTGCCTATAACTTTTAAAATAAAGCGAATTTCGAGAAAATAAAAGTTCCACTAAGTTACTACGTTCAGTGTGCTCAGGTTCGGTGCAAATTAAACACCAGTAATAAGCCCTTGCAGGGCCCCTTTAACTCTTGTGAATGGAAAAGCTACTTCCGTTGAGTTCTCGTGATTAACTGGCGCTTCAATTGAAGCATGGCCCATTAAATTTAGCAGGAAAAGGTTGCCAGCTCAATCCTTGATGTTGCATCTCTTTTCAAAAATTCTCGCCCCCAGACCAAAAACAAATTGTCTGTTAAAAAAAAAAAAATGTGCAAACAGCACATTGTAGTGGCAGGAACTGTAGTATCTCGGATGCCTCAATGTCCTTCTGTTTAGGGTGATGACATCCTTTGTAGTATCCGATGCCGAAAGCGCACGCTCACAGGGAAAATACAAAAAGATTGCTGAAAACAAAATGTCGCCGTAGCACAGTCAACGCTAAGAGCTCATGCAGGGAGACACTCTTTTGTGCGCTTCAGAACAAAAGGCTCGAGGTACACCTAAGCACTTCTTATGAGTTGTGAATGCAAAAGCATGCACGTCATTCTTCTACTCCCTTATTTCATCTCCAGCGTATTTGTGTCAACAGCAGAGAGCGCCCTCTCCTCGCCGCTCTGTTCTTGGAAGTTTTGTGTTACCGATGCGCTGACGGACATGCAGCGCCATGGGGTGGCGGTCGTTGAAACTGGTGCGCAGCGACCAATGGGAGCCTCATCGACGTGCGCCAGCCACTGGGAACGAAGCCGAAATCCATCAGCTTTACTCCGCTCCTTTGGGATAGGGGAAACTAGGTGCCATTTGGCTAGGCTTTTCGGTGGTTTCATAGCTGGGAGCTGGCTTCACTTGGAGAAAGGATTTAACGCGCCGTTTGGTGCGGCTTCAAAGCGATGATGTCGGCTCGCTCCATGAGACAGTTAATGCTTTCACATTAAAAAATAGAAATAAGTGTTCGGAACAAAGTGGCAAGACGTCATCACCCTAAGCAAAGCACACATGAAGGCACCCTAGTATTAACATGGCACCAACATAATAAACATCAAAATATGACATCCCTACTTTAGAATGTAGAGACGGATATCACTATAATGGAAGGCAAAGGGATTAGAAGTACACGAAAAAATATGAAGGTGAACATTTGAGAGAAGTCTCTCTGGTTGGGGAGCAACAATAATAATAAATAATATATATACACCAACCAAATCCTTGTATAAAGGCAAAACCCTACGTCTCGAGACCAGCTCGGCCTCTTCTTCAGGGGTTGACTGCGGCTATGGCCGTTGAGGAGCAGTAATCTGTTTTCTTCTTCTTCTACGGCAGTGTCTATCGTTTTGCATCGGTTAGGTGGCGAAGTCCGTTCACGTAGCCGGTCGGCAGAGTGCCGAGGGACCTATTTATGTTTTCTGGCGTTATTTGTATGTGCCAAGATTCAATAAAAAGTCTATGTCTGGGATTGGTTTCAACAGCCAGGATGCTGGTGTTGGCAAAGTCAATTTTGTGGTCCTTGACGTCGCAGTGCTCAGCTACGGCGCTTCGTTCATGGTCGAACTTTTGAACATCATTCATATGCTGGCGGATTCTCTCCCGGAAGTTCTTCGTTTCCCCGATGTATGTGACCGGGCAGTCCGCGCATGGAATTTTATAAACGACGCCTTGTGCTTTTTCCTTAGGCGGGCGATCCTTTGGACGGGGCATGAGTCTTCCAAGCGTAGACATCGGCTTGTGGGCTCCTCAACGGCCATAGCCGCAGTCAACCCCTGAAGAAGAGACCGAGCTCGTCTCGAAACGTAGGGTTTTGCCTTTATACAAGGATTTGGTTGGTGTATATACGAAAAAATATTTATTGTGCTAATCCCTTGTCAAGCTGAAAACTGTAATTGTGATGTCTCTTATCTGTCAATTATATTAACGTTTAAACTTTTCATCACGTGCTGTCCAGTAGTGCAAGGGATTGGCTCTTGGACATGATCATTCAATTTGCAAAAGGGCACACATTTGGGACCACTTTTTCATCTCAGCCATTTGAAACGCAAGCTAGAGATCCTGCAGGTACTGAAATTGTGAGTAGACCAATCCGATATCTTACCAACGCTTTCGTATCCCAAAACGATCCTGGAATCCCCGACATGGCCTATGTAAAGCTTGCTCTTTCGGATGAACGCAATGCTGGCTGTTGTGCCAGAGGTGCTCGGTTGACCTGACATTGTCTTTGGCCATTTGCCTAGAAAAGAAAAATGATATCGCCAATGAACAATCAATTCGTGACAATTTAAGGAAGTGGCATTAGGACCGCGTTTAATTAGAACTTTGTTATAAATGAGGATAGATTAATTCTGAAGGCATTAATTACACTGTAATAATATCACGAGTAAGTCAAGATGCAATACGTATTGAATTATATATATCTTCACACTGTCCAAACCACCGGAAATTACGCGAAGCCAACTTGGACCGGGCACTAAAATAACGGCGATCTCTAAAAAATGCCAGAGGAGCTGTAAGCTTCCAAAAGGAGCAGCCGGCATCGCCGCGACAACGCACGGAATGTGCATTTCGTAAGAACATGTGTGCACCGAGCAGAATAGAGCATCGGCCTCGTAGAAGGTCAGATAGGAAGCGGCGAGAGCGAACACCGCTAGTCACTCAAGGTAAGCGTCATCGCTAACACGCAAGTGGCGGATGGGCAGGGCCAACATAACGTGCCCTTCTCATATCAACTAAAACCCCAGGAATCGAGGAGAAAACCGCCTTTATCGCTCCAAATATATACGAACGCGAGGAACAATGGAGAGAAATAGCCGATTTCCTAAGCCTCGCGCGTTGCATCATGGGTGTCGCGAGCAGTCGGCGGCCGCAACCACCAAACGCGATCCCTGACCTAGCAACCCAGCGGCGCTCGAGAAGTTCAAAAAAAGAGCCGAACTCACCAACTTCCTTCCACATTCCGAGGTGGGTGGCGAGGAAACCGTGCTTGATCGCGCGCAGCACGTGTTCGTCATCGTTGGACCAGAATCCACTCTGTTTGACGATCGCGTCGAGCAAATGCTCCTTGGCGTAGAGGGCCGCCTCGCGTCCGCCGTGGCCGTCGAAGATCCCGAAGTAAGCGTACTCCAGCCCAGACTTGTCCTTGGTCTGCTGGTAGGCGACCACGAAGGCGTCTTCCATATATTTCCGCCCACCCTGGTTACAGTGTCCGGTCACACGCAGGTTTAAACCTATCATCGTGGGCATGCTGACCGGAGAAACTCCTCAGATAGCTCCGGACAACACGCGACTCGTGCAGGTTCCTCTCTCCAACGACGCTGCCGCTGCTTATAGGTACGTGTGCTCTAGAGAAACTGTATGCTCCACTGCTGTGCTCGCTCAACGCGTCGAGGACGAGCCAACGCAGAGGCATACAGCCAACGACGAGCGCGGCTTCCTCGTTTACCTCCTCACCGGTGCGATCGCCCGACAATGAATCCACGCAACCCACGGCGGCATCCACCATCCACCGCCAGCTTTCGGGTGTAGCCGTGGCGCTTCCGATTGGCGGAAAGACCGTGACGTCAGCAGTGACGACACGACGTCTGGAATTTTTGCTTGCTTGTTTCGTTTCCGCTACGACCAGAAACAGCTGGGTCGATGGGCAATCCCCGTTGCCTGTAGGATCTTGTTTTCTGGTCGCCTTTGTCATCCGCTCCACGTCCCGACATGTCGCAAAAGACAGAAAGATGCTACGCGAGATGGTTGGCTATAATGTAAGAGCACATGGCATAATTGCGGGTCTGATGTATCTACTGCGTTCCAATCGAAGCGATGAACTTTGCTTCATTCGGCATCCAACTTTTTTTGTCTTGTTTCTCGACTGGGTTCTAAAAACTTGCCGATTTGCCGATGTTCTAACGAAGATCAGGCTAACCACATAACTGAACCGTAAATAAACCTTATTTCAATACAATGAAATATTTACGTAATCAGTTAAATATGAATTAATAAATGGGCAAAAGTAGTTTATTTTGCATTATGTGCTCTGTTACCTTTCTATGCTGTTACTGTGTATAATTTGATGTGACATGTGAAACTACAAGGAACCATGCAATCAAGAAACTTTTTTTTTTTTTGCTTGCTTCCGCCATTTATGTACGAGGTTAGAAAATAAAGTTATTCCTAAATATGAACTTCAAATGTAAGCGCGCAATGAAATCAAAACCTAAAACGTTTATTAAAAAAAAAAAAAAAACGTTGGGAATTTTACGTTTATGGTCCCATGGTTACATTTTGCGAATGATCAATTGTTCCTATCAAACTACATCGCGCTAAATATTATATATATATATATATATATATATATATATATACACAGTAAAAACAAAAACGAACAGGATGCCTTTTGATGTGCTATTTCGCTTTTATTGTGTCGGTTTAAAAAAACGTGCTCATATTATTATATTTTATTGTACCTCTGTATCTAAGTAAATAAAATAAAGTACGTTGCTGGGCTAGTTGGTGTATATTTAGGTACAAATAAAATAGTGCAAATGAGACAATAACAAGAGAGTAGAAAGGCGCCCTGTCTGCTCTAATTTCCTACTCTACTCTATTGTATCATTTGCGCTATAATAATTTATTTGTACGTAAATAGATATAATTTTATTACCATTCCTGGTGAAACAATCCTTGATTCTTGACCACAAAAAAAAATTCCAACTGCCTGTCACACGCTTCTTCCAGCACCCAAGAATTGTACACCATAGATTCAGTGTTTTACGCCAAACACCAACACAAATTTATTTTAGAATTTGTAAAAACCCGATATTTTTGGCCCAAGTATACTGTAAATATCCGACTTCGCCCCTCCTTTATGTTTAGCTTTTATATAATTAGTAAATACGTCAACACGCACGTCGAACTCTTGTGCGTTCGTGCTGTGAGAGAATCGAAACCCAAACAAAGTAAGTTTTAAGAGGCTGTGGTTACGGCTTAATATCAAAGCGACAAAAAAAGCCGCCGAAAACAAGCCGAAGCCGAAGCCGAAGCCACCTTTCAGGCCAGAGCAGCCAGAGCCACTGCGAGCCACAACTGACGCAACGGCAGAAACTGGCAACTACTGGCAACTGCTGGCAACAGCGACAACGGCGACAACAGCAGCTCGGCGGTTCGGGTTCAGTTCGGGACTGCGCATAGGTCCTTGGCTCTTTTTCACTCACTGTGATTCCCTGTGAACAACTAGCCGCGATGTCTTCGCCTCTGGAAGCTCTCGAAACGAATTTGGAGATGTTCATCGAGAACGTGAGGCAGCTAGGGATCATCGTGAGCGACTTCCAGCCGCAGGGTCAGACGACGCTCAACCAGAAGATCAACCACATCGTGACCTTGATGCAGGAAGTGGACAAGTGCAAGCCGCAGGTGCAGGACATCCAGGTGCCGCTCGAAGTGTTCGACTACATCGATCAGGGTCGCAACCCGCAACTCTTCACCAAGGACTGCATGGAGAAGGCGCTGGCCAAGAACGAGCAGGTCAAGGGCAAAATCGAGTCCTACCGACGCTTCAAGGCACTGCTCCTGCTCGAGCTCAGCAAGGTGTTTCCCACCGAAATGGCCAAGTACAGGGCCATTCGGGGTGACGAGAGGCCTGCCACGTAGCGCTCGGTAGTCGGCCCTTCATGCTTGTAAATACCCCTTCATGTGCGATAAAGGCGTCCGCGGGCACGTGGCCATGTTCACCCTGACGCTTGACAACGGCTCGGTTACCCCAGTCATGCCCCAGTGCTGTGCCTTCGCTGCCTTCGCTCTGCCGTTGCCAGTCACCTGGTGTAAAGGCCGGTTCGCACATTTGGGTCTGACATTTATGTCCGAATGCGTTGTGATGTATTGTAAACGCTGGAGTTATCTCGGGTAGACGCGTGGACCACTTCCAACCTGTTTATAACCAGACTTCAAACCTGCGCACTGTCTATGAATGATAGTCTCGTATAACATTGTTGGAATTATTTCGAGCACACGGTAAAAGCATGCTGCATAAAAAGTAAAAAAAAAAAAAAAAAAAAAAATCTGCACAGGTAAAAAGTGTTTTAGTGCATTAAGTGGTAGCAACTTGCGAGAGCTCACAACACTCAGTCAGTCAAACACAAATGTATGATTTCTAAGTGTACAGAAGAGTAGGAGACATTGCCTCTGAGAGATGGCAGTTCAAAATGGTCCTGGTGCCATATTTGTTTCTTCTCACACGTTTTGTGTAGAGGTACAAATGGGAGAAGCATTGTAGCGGTTACAGATTTAGCACCGATGACGACGGCATGCCCAACAGCTCTAATTATTGTCACTGGTCTGTGCTAGCGCTGCTGCATTCATAAGTCACTGCGATGTTTTGCTTATGGCATCGCCAGTTGCCATGGCAGTCGGGCAACAGTACAATATTGCACTCTTTACTTAACATATAATTGTAGTGGAGGTCTTTGAGCAGTGTGATGCCCTGCTGTCGCTCTTTTAGAACAAGAACAAACCAATTGTGTATGGGCAGCACCCAGTTATTGGAACGACTAACAGCATAAGCACACTAAGAGAATAATGTAGCAGAGAATGGTATCCTCCAATCTACTCTTCAGTTTAAAGTACAAACTCGGTGTTGTAATCTGCCTTTTCGTTAAGGACACTGACAATTTGTCGGCTTGAGAGGTTTGGGGAAAGCTCCACCCACCTCTTTCCACTTTAGCAGAGCAAACTCTGAAGATGAGGTTGCCTCCTTTCCAAACTTCGCTTTGCCAAAGCGGAAAGAGGTGGGAGGAGCTTCTTTCTCTAAACTCTTAATTTGTCAACGATTATAGTTGGAATAGTGTTCTGCTAAAATTGTCCAAGACCACTCCGTTTCACCTTGTGATGGACTGCAGAGGATGCTACGAGCCCTTGAAGCCAATCCCATGCCGTGTGAGTCTCACGTGACCTTCGGGGGGGGCGCAAGGCGCCTAGTTGCGTGACACGTTCACAGCGCTGGATTGGTTAGGACGATTGGCAGCATCCGCTCTGGGCTATCGTAAGGTGAAACTGAGTATAAGCAACTGGTACAAATTCGGAAACTCTTAGGAATATCCCAAGGCAATAATGGTGACAGAGTTTGCAGAAATATGTAAGTATTCGTGGTACAAAGAGAATGATGTGACATGAATTGGAGACCAAATTCCATTGTCTAGATCAGGGGTCCCTAAACCCCGGCCCGCGGGCCAAATCTGGCTTGCGGAGGTCTTCCGAGCGGCCCGTGGCTGGCTGCAGTCCTCCCAATGGAGACCGGCCCATGGCCCGCTTTTAGCACGCCCGCTGTTACTGGCGATAAAATAAGCGCGTGTAAAATGGTGCCGCAGCACGCACCAACCGCGTAAACAAAGTTACCAGAAAAAAAAAGAAGAGAAAACTGCCTACCGTAAGGCGCGTCCTCTGGTCATATTAGTAATTGGACATTGTCATTAGCAGAATCCTCACTCGTAGTCCTCTGTTCCATATCTGGGTAACTAAGTACGTTAAAATTAATTTACGTCCCTATGTATATTGTGCTTGATGCACAGTGTCGTAGCTATTAAATATTGTCAGCATAACTTATATCGTTCTCACTAGTCTTCTGCCCCGTGTGAACGTGCCAAAGTTCCTTTGCGCTCTGGTTTAGGCTGGTATGTTTTCTGGGCTTCAATTATTGTGTGAAGTAATACGCAGTTAAATGATTAAATTTCATAACAAAGTGAATGCACTCATCCACCTTAGAATCTTTTTGTTTCATGTTTACTCTAACTTTAAATATTATATATTTAAATGCTTAGATATCTAGGGTTATTTATTTAGATTTTCCTCATTTACATCTGCTCATTTATATTTCCGGCCCTCGAGACGGAGACAGAACCTCCATCCGGCCCCTTAGCCAAAAAGTTTCAAGACCCCTGGTCTAGATTACCTACACATTTTCATTTCAGGGAAGAATGAAGAGGCTGGGTGTAAATGTTATTTTATGCCTTCTTCGGGTAATAATAACACTATTTGCAAGACCGATATGTTGCCCTAGGTAATTTACGAAGCTAGAAGGGGGGGGCGAGATACCTTAACTTCTGTACCTGCCAGTCAGCCACACAGGACAGAAAACACAACAGGTGATTCATAGATTTAAGGGGAGAACATAAGCGAAAGCTAGGAAGGCAGTAACTCGCGATTCTATGTTCTCTCCCTAAATGTGTGAACCTGCTCATCCTGACTTTGAAACAGGAATACTGGAATACTACAAAATGGTGTGTCAAACAGTTGATTTCTATCATTCGTCATAGCGGGTAGAACTAAAGTCCTTCGATAAAAATCGCACATGACTTGGTACATCCTGAAAGAGAAACCAGTACTATACTCCGTGTCACTAGCTGCATGCAGAACAGGCGAAGGCAACGCCAGGCGAGGGGAGTAAGGGCAAGCACCAGGAAGACTGGGGAGGAGAGAAATTTCTCTCTCCAACGTTCCTAGTGCTCTCCCTTTCTCCGCTCGCCCTCCACTGCCCTCCTCTCCAGTCTCACCTTCTTAGGGCTCGCCCTTTCTCTCTTCGCCTGGCGTTGCCTTCGCTTGCACTGCACGCAATTAGTGACACGGAGTATAGATGTGTATGCATGCAGTTCATGCGGGGATATTTAAAGTTTCCTACGTGCATTAAAAATGTGTTATTGGAAACTCCTGCTTTTGACGAGGGAAAGCGGCGTAGAAAAGCTCACCGCAAAACCGTCGTATCCAGAGAAAAGCTCACCGGCCTTTTAACAAATACAAAAAAAATCCTCGTCGACTAATCTCAATCAAGCCCTCACTCAATGGCAATACCTTAATTTAACTGAAGTATGAATTGATGGTGCACTTTGCAGCAGAGCAATATATGTTTGTATGTAAAAGAGTACCATACACCTTTTGGGTTGCACAACGAAAGTGAATGAAGTTTTCCCACTGAATGGGAAATAGAGGATTGTATGGGAAAATACAACCAGTGCAGTGAACTTTAGTTGTTCCTGGATTGTTATGTGTTAAATTACTTTATATATGTTATCAAACAGTGAAGACTCAGCACTGTATCTGTTCGCTCATCCTTTGCGCTGTTTTAATTCTCCGGTATGGGGGGGGGGGGGGGGGGGTCGTACCAACTCGCCCAAGCTTGAACTTCAGTAAATCAATAAATGAAATTCTCTTAATATTTCGCAATTTATTTGAGAAGGTATAGGGAGCATGAGACACCTAAAGTGGGTGTGCCGATCCAACTGATGTTCCTGCCAAATGAGTCTGCTGGGAGCCGGACCGCGGCTCCACTGTCTTGTCGCGTGCTTCCCATTACCACTCCGCAGCCAATCAGATTGCGGCGTTACTCATTATGAACATCGAAGAATGAATCGGGCAGAGAAAAGCATGAACACAATAAGCCATGCCCTGCCGTTTTTACCTTGTCAGTGAGAACAGCAGGGCTTATTATGTTTGTGCTTCTTGCTGCTTGATTCAATCTTCGGCGTTCGTAATGAGTGACGCCACAATCTGATAGGCTGGGGAGTGCTAATGGGGAAGCATGCGATAAAACAGCGGTGCCGTGGTATGGCTCTCAGCAGAGTCATTTGGCGGGAACATCAGTTGGATCGGCGCACTCCCTTTAGGTGTCGCACGCTCCCAATACGCTTCAATTCGAAGCTATTTTGATCTGACAAAATAAGTTGATATTTTCTACAACCACGCTGTATCAGAATTATATATGGCAAAGTCAAGGAGAAAACAGACTAGATGAAAGCGGAGTGAGGGCTGAATCTTTCTGCATGTAGCTGTACATGTATCGCGCATGCAGCTTTTTAGCTGCTCTAAAATGTTATATGTAATCCTAGAATAGGGAGGCAAATTTTTAACTTCTTCAATTATAGACATTTAATGGATGACGACCATTTAATTCAAGGTGAGCTTTTCTTCGGACGTGCACAAAAGTGGGTCAGCTTTTCTCCGATGAACTTTTTCTGGTGAGCTTATATCTGGTCAGGGTCGGTTCTATGGGTCAGGACTGGAAGGTGCGGTTGGCATTCAGCTGGCAGAGGGTGGGGAGTATGCTGAGGTATGACGTACGGCCGAAATGTTGCCCAGACCTATTTTGTTGACCCAATATTTGCTATGTCACCAAAAACTAAACTTTTGGCTGGCGTTATCACTGATTTTATTTTTAAAAAGTCGATTTTGGGGAATTAAGGAGGAAAGAAAACGGTCGCCCCCCCCCCCCCCCCCCCCTTTCCCTCCTCCTTTTCCCCTATTCTGCCCCAGTTTCTGGCGAGCTTTCCTCTGGTGAGCTCTTCTCCCTTTTTCGACGAAGGACGTTGGTGGTAGTCAACGTTACTGGTAGTGAAGATGGAGTTGTGAACGTAGTTTGAGGAAAAAGGTGGAAGAAGCACAATTTTCGCGCGTGAGCAGAAAGTGTGAAAAAGAGCTATGACAAAATACGCACGACCTTAGAAGCCGCTAGGGGACGCAAAATACCACCCAATTCCCTCAATTCTACTATTAGTATTTTTTTCTAAAATAGCAAAATGTAATAACGCAATTGCAAAATTATATTAAAACTAAACGTGCACAATTTCTGAGATTCTCATATTAGTGGAAATGTTTATAAAATCTTTCTCGCGAAATCGTTATGTTGGCGCCGCCGTTGGCCTGCCGTCTGGTTTTATGTTTGTTTATTCAGTTGCCGCGCTAGGCTTACTGGTCCGAAATGCGCGCACTCGGCTTTTGATTGTTGTTTGTCGCGAAGTTTTGCTCTCAAATTGTGCTACGTCGCCGAAATTGCCCGCCCAAGCGGGCTCCAGTGAATAGGCTGCATGTGCATGAACCGTGTCAGCCGTACGTTCAAGCGGTGAAACGGCAGCGCCGTTGGCTCCAGCGTCTGCTGCGAATGACCTACATTATTTTCGTTTCCCGACGGTTTCTTGGGCTGACAGTTAAGCTTTCGAACTTTCGCGACCAGTGTCTCTCTTGAAAACTTGGGCCTGAGTTTGCTACCCAGCACGTAAGCTCTGTTCTTGTGGGAAAATAAGGAGTTTTTGTTTGCTTTGCATTACCGGATACCCCCCCGAAAACAAATGCCAAGTAAGAACCCAGCCTTTACTTCGGGTGTGCATGCCAGCTAGACGAGCGATTTTCCCCATTTATTTATTTCTCGCCCCCAGCTAAATATGCCGGGCGTTAGCTTGATGCAAGCAGAAACATGTGCAGCAAAGAAAAAAGAAAAACAACTCGTAGTGCTTTTTTCGTCGTCTATCATCGTTTCGTGTTTACAACAGAAGCTTCGTGTTCGTTGAGAGAATGATGACCTTTGCTCAAGCCCTGCACAATTCGTCTAAATCTCCGCCTTTCATCCACGTCGCTTAAATCTATACTCTTATAAGCGTCTGCGAGGTTTCGAAGTATTCCGACCGGTTTCTTTGACAAGTGCTCAAAATGTGCCGCGGACGGCGGAATACCGTTGCCTGCCCAGCGAACCGTTTGCGTACGGTGCTTCTTCAAAGCATGCGCTCTCGGCGTGCATGAAAGTTCGTTGAGCCCGTTCATTCTCGCGGAGGTTTTTCTTTCTTTATTTTTTACTACTCTTCTCTTCGCCTACGCCTCTTTTACGAGTTTTGGTATGCACCGTTGGCAAGCTGCCAGCACGTTTGAGAAGGGTTGGGTGCAAGAGTGGGGGCATAGCCTCCTATATACTCTATGGTGGGGGAAACGGGAAACGATCGCTACTTCGCTCGTTGTCGTTGAGATGGTAATCGCGCATAGGTGCGGTGTTTAGTTGGAGGAGGTATTAAAATCGCGCAATTGCGACATTTCTGCTTGATTTTTCCAGGTATCGTTATCGTTTCTCCTGTCAACTCTTACCCCCTGGGGTGTCGTGTTTGGATTCCATATGCCAGATTTTCATTAGTGGACCCCCCCCCCCCCCCCCCCCCCCAATCCTCCTCCTCTCTTTTTTTCCCCCCTTTTTTTACTCGGGTAATTTAATTGTGAATTTGTGAATGCCGTCGCTTCTGAATTGTATAATAGTGAAACGAGTATTAAACTGACCGTGGGAAGTCAGTAGGATGTGCAGAAATCCTGTTATCTAGCTTTCACCTAGTTGCACATAATAATCTAACTATAGTCCGTTGCAACCTAAGAACGAAGGGCGAGGGCAAGACGGGCCGGGGAGGAGGAAGCAAACGGAACGCTAAAGAGAGAAGGTTTCCCCCTCTCTTCTCCAGCGTTTCGTCTGCTTCCTCCTCCCCGGCCCGTCTTACTCTCGCCCTTCGTTCTTAGGTTGCAAAGGACTATAGTCATCTCGTGCTTATCTGGCACTTGCAGTTTTCCAATGACAGAAGACACATTTTTCTTCTGCTTTGGCGGTGGTTGAGCAGAGGGTCACTGGAACAAGGTGCAGACAAGCATTTTATTTCAAGCACCTCACATTGCTCTAGATCAGAATGGTTTCATTTTTTCTTGTCAGAAAGAAATTTGTGCACTAGTGCTCGCCCACATATTATTGACAGTGGTATGCACTACCAGCACTTATTTTTGTTGACTGAAGCTCATAGCAGAGGTGGCGCCGTTGAAGTTTATGGTTGCATGTTGAAAGGTTTCCTGACGTTCCCCATTATTTCTTGGTCCTTTAATGGGTCTTGCCAGCTGCCCTGTGTGGTTTTGGCCTCTAAACCCCCAATATTTACCTTTACTTTACTTACCTTTATAATATTTAAAGGGTTGCTATAACAAACACTATCAACTGTCATCTTTGGCATATATGTTTGTGATCCAGTTAATTTTGCCATTTCTGCCACCCAGGCTGGCACTGGAACAGTTGGTAACACTTTGTCTCATATTTAACGTCACCTCTAAGTTGTCACATCTTTTACAACATGAGTTTCTTTCACTGGGTTTCTAGGGACCCAGGTGATCCCTTGAGTACCGTCACAAGCTCGCCGAGCTCCCAAATTTCCTCAACCGTCGCCAACCTCACAACACTATCTTACCAGAGCTGAATCACCCATTGATGTGTAACAACCATGAGCTAAACACTCCGTTCACCCTTCAGCTGACAGCACGGTGAAAGCTACGCACTTACTAGACCAATTCACTGCCTCCTTTTAATTACACAACCCTGCTCTCTGCACATGGATATGGGCAGGAGTGTGATAACACGGTGAAAAAAGGACGTGTGACTGGTCCAATGATCAAGTAACTTTCTTCATAAACAACCGGAAAGAATAAACACAAATTCGGGACGCACACAGACGATACAACTCTTTCAACTCTCAACAACATTTATTTAGTCTCCGTTCAAACGTTCAACTTATGTTAAGCTTTCTTCACATTGTCAACTTGGGGGTGGACCAAGTGTAGTGTGTGTATTAGTGTTTACGAGGTCTTTAGGCTTTTGCACAGCTTTACCGCACCAATGTCGAGACTGGCAGAGGCTCCTTGGTTATCAGCCAAGGCAGATATGTGTTCCTCGAGATAAACATGTTTGGGGATCCCTGTTTTACACGTTAGTTTACCGATGAAGACGTTCTGCTGTGCTACTCACCTCTTTGTCCCGTGTACTATCAGAACGGAATAAACGCGAACGCCGGAATGTGCGGCGTTTGACGTATACCCGGAGGCTGATAAAACTGCGGAAGAGTGCGCTCTCTCAGGACGTGCATACCTGCGCTGTCCCCTTCCTCTCCGCAGTTTTATCGACCCCCAGATAGCGCAGCATGTATCGAAGGTCACTCGTTCGTTCTAGCGTTTGCAATTCATTTCGTTCCGACAGTACCATATTTTTTGGACTATAGTCCGCACCCGGCATGAAGCCCACAGAAGCAAATTTCAGTGCAAATTTGTTTTTGTTTCTTAGATAGTTCATATCTTGGACATAGTCCACACCTGGTGCACATTCTGCTTGTAAAAAAATTCTCTCGCACAGCGCACTTGAAAAACGCCCGCCTTATTAGCGCACAAAAAAGTATGTATCATACAGAAATCATCATTAACATAATCTGTCATCCACAATATCCATCTCGTCACAATTAACAATCCCGAAAAAAAAAAAAATTGTGTAGCCCTTTATTATATAGTTCTCACCACTTAAAATTTTAAGCTTTGGAACACATATAGTCCAAAAAATACAATACTATGGTTTCGCTTCGTTTTCCTGGACTATGGTGCATAGGACGCATTTCCGCCCGGTGTGTTTGGTGTCCCATTGCGCGTGCGCGTCCAAAGTGGTCCTGGAGAGGCAACAAACGACGTTGCAAAAGCCGGAGTGTCACGCTGCCAGATGTCGCGATCCTGGCGGTTGGTCGTAGAAAGGCAGGCGAAAAGCAGGACAAGCGTCGCTGTCGTCACGCGGTCCCATCTTCTGGCTTCTGAAGCTTTTGCGAACCGTCAAGCTGGAACTCTCAGCGGAACAGGCGCCTGCCACGTGCATTTTTGCTTCACCACCGCCGCCAGAATTGCAGCCGGCGATGGCGTGACACTTCTACAACGACGTCGGGCAGAAATCGAAGGACCACTTTTTAGGACGTGGTAAACGCACCTTTCGGAGACGCGTTCTGGGCACCACACCGGGTCCGAGCGTCGACCTGATGGCCCATGCGCTTCGGTGCGCTTGCAGAGCCCTGCAGCGGGGCACGGTGGCGGAGCGCAGCCAGATGATGCGCAATGCACGCACGGCGGGCGGCACCCTACGGTCTGCGGGCAACAGCGCGGTGCCCGAGAGGGGGCTGAGCACCCTGCAGCGTGCCCGCGCCCAGGCGCAGGAGAACATCTTCAACGCCACCAAGGCCGCCCCCCGAGGACCCTCCGCCGCCGGCAGGGCCCGCTCCAACAGACCTACGGCTGTGGGGTGAGTGGTTGACCGCCCATGTTCCGCCCATCTACGGTGTGAGATGTACACCGGGTGTTCCTGCGAATCGTTTCAAAATCTCCTACAAATAAAGTGGCTAAGAAAAAAATATATATTTCCGGGTACAAACTGTCACCCTCAATAGACTTCGGTGTTGCAAAAATACACGACCCCAGTTAGCAGATTAATGGCCTAAATTTTACTAATTCACTTCTTAATATGCAAATAAACATATAGTTCCAATTAGAAGCTTGTTCAACATCATCGAAGGCCCATAAATCTGTCAGTTCTAGGAAGACCAAGCTTGTGGGAAGCTTGAGAATGTGCCGAAGTTGCACCTCATAGAGCAGGTGCGAGACTGGCGATGCGAAAATGCGAATGGTTTGGTAATTGTTCTGCTAATTGGAGTCTTTTGCAATCCCTAATGCCTGCCCCAGCTGGCAGTTTGTTCCCGAAAAGAGTTTACTTTTTTTCTCAAACACTCTATTTATAAGGATTTTTCGAAGTATTAGCAGAAACACCCGGTACAGGTATGGACACCGCGCACATCAGAGTTGCCAGACTAGGTCATGTCCTTGCATCGGCTGCGAGCGGCGCCACCGGAGGGCTCTTCGACAAGTGGCTAGTGGTAGCCTGTTGCAGGCCCCGTTTCTGACCGAATCTGCTGAACTTCAGATTCAGCAAAGTTTGGCAAATGCCATACTTTTGAAGGAAAGTTCAGCAAGGATTCAGCAAAAATTCGGCAAATGTCTGCACACGCGCGAGAATGCGACGGAGCCATGGATTGCAAATGAACGCCGTGCAGTCGTGCTGTTACCATCGTGCAGTGTAGTACAACCAGCGGTTACGGCGTGGTGTGCACTAGGCAACACAGTAACTGCGTTTGTGAGCGAGTGTGGTTCTCGTCAATATTTTCTGCCTCAAGAATAGAAGATCGACCAGTAATTTACGCAGTCCACTGCGCCAGTGACAAATGATGCGGTGCATTCTAAAACATTGAAACGTTGGCCGACAATTACTCTAAAGCACTTCTCACAATTATAGCAATTCTGTTTTTGGCTCAGAAGTAGTGTGTTCCAAAACAAGGTAATAATGCTTTTTCAATTAGTGTTATTTCACGATTTTCATGTATCTGCATAAAACTAAACTTAGAACTATAATGCTCGATGTTGCACATCCGACCATTCCTAACTCTCTCCGTCTTCCGAAACGTTTGTGTGTGTCCTAACACCAGAAACTGGCATCTTAAAGGTTAAAAACGAGACATTGCGAATATGGGACGCACACTTTCATGCAAAGCTGACGTCAAGTAACTCAAATCGAAAAACATGCATATTTACAATATTACTATTCTCTCTTCTGGTGAAAGCTCAGCAACCGTTGCATTTGTTTCCGTGCACAAAACGGTGACTCCCAGAGAAAGCAAGAACGCAGCGTTATTGCCTTCATTTTAACAATGTACACCGAGGAGGTTGATGTTACACAGACATGCAGGCTTGTGCTGATGATGCCTCAAAACCGAAACTCTCGTAGCGTCTGCGCCACGCTCACTTTTACCCAACCTCGTTGTCGCACCACTTCTGCAAGGAGTCACTAAAATTGCCAATAAACACACAAAAACAACACCGATACAATTATCTTGTAGAATATCACCCTATTTAGTCATAACTACCGTAATATCCCGAGTCATCGCCCATCCCCGAGCCATCGCCCACCCCATTTTTTGGGCCAATATCGATTTCCGAAAAAACACCGAGTCATCGCCCACCCCTTCAAATACCCCAGCGCGGACTCTGCGATCCGCGAACACTCATCCTACCCGAATGACGCGGCCGCGGACCTTACAGTTCGAGGACGTCCGTGACAAAGTAAAACGATGGAGGGAAAGACACTTCTTTTTGTTTACGCATTTCCTCCGTGAGCGACCCCAAAGTGGTCGTGTATCCGTGCGAAAAGAAAACGATGGAGATAACAAAATAAGAGTTGTTAATGTAACCGCGGAGAGTTAGGTCAAAGCCTGTCTCCGCCGAAGTAAGGTCACCGCGAACACGCTCCTTCTTCCCGCCCGTCGCGACCGCGTTTGTGCAATATTTTAGGCAAAGCCAAAGCGTAAATAAAGCTTTGCTGGAACGTCCTACACAGACGTTTGCAGAGCGCCCCAACCGTGCATTGATAGCCCGCCGTGCACGGACGCACGTATGTACGCACCAAACAAGAAAGTTGCGCAAGGGCTTGCAATTGACCTTTTTCATGGTTTGGCCACGATCGTGGCGCGCCCTCGGGGGAATCGCTCGAAGCACTTTTGGTGGCTCCGGGACCGTCTCTCCGTCGTCCGCGGCAGGGGTGGCGTGTATCCAGGTCTATGTGTTTACGTGTGTTCTTTGGTGGCGTTGTTCCGTCTTTCACCATTCTGAAAGTGTCTTTCCGTCGTCGTTTCGCGTGCATATTTTCTTCGAAATGGCTGAGGACGACCCTGGAAAATTGATAAAAGCTGCTGTCTACGATACAGAGGAGCTCGTTCGTTTTTATACCTTCAATGACTCGGAGTAACTTAATCGTCACTTCGGTGTCGCGTCTTACAAGCTACTAAAAAGGGGGTTCGCTTTCAAGGCAGAGTCGCAGAGTGTTATGTAAGAAAACTAATGGTGAACAGTTTCGATACCGACCCAACCATTTACCTTGTGCGGAGCTTGTGAGCTTATTTTATAAAGCTCCGCCACTACAAACAGCTGATTTTTCTCTCCTTGATCGGTTAAGTTATTCAAGCTTATTGCGTCCGTCTCTTCGCCGTCCTGTGAACCACGCGAACGCACGAGAATGTGTAAACAAACTCGGAAGGTGTGAAATCCGGGCGGTCTTGATGTCGCGAAGGCTTGCCTGCACCGTCAAAAATAAGGAACGGTATATTAGAAACAATCTCTGTTTAAATTCGGCACGTTTACGAACCTTCGACAAAGTGAGCCCAGCAAACAGGGGAGTTCACAGTTGTTTGCCAAGGCATTCCATCAGGGTTCTGTTTCCGTAAGTCTTAAATTTGTTTCGCACGCTTTAAATGTTTTGCCAGTGACTGATATTTTTTATGTTTTTTTTTTTTTTGTGTGCTCTTTTAACGTGGCAAGACGCGAATGTGAATAGCGCACGCCTGAAGGAGGGAAAGCTTTATCCTGTTATTCTTTACCTGAGTACCGTTTACGGCATGATTACATCACACAACCTCGCGTGCACATTTACTGTTAACGGAAAAATAGCGAGAGTGTAGGCGAGCTGGTGTAAGGTGAACATGATGGTAAACTTGATATACCAATACATGAAAGGATAAAACATCGAGCACAGGGACGGAAAGATGACTTCTTTTAAGAAGCCCCATTTCCTTCAAGTTTTATCCTTTCATGTATTCGTACCTATTCACCAACTCGCTCGTTTTCAATTGTAGAACCTGAGACTGGGGTAGGAAATGGAAAACACAAAAGAAAAACAGGTAACGTCTCAAGGGACGTTTCCTGTTCTTTTATTTTTTTGTCACATTTTGCGTTTTCGTTTTCCTACGCCAGTTTCCGGTTTACCATCATGTTCACATTTACTGTCTTTTAATTAAAAGCAGAATGTTCCTCCGTCACAATGATAACCCGGCCACCTGACACGGGGGTTCGCGTCATAGGCTTTTGAAAGCAGTGCAAAAAGGGCGGGGTGTTTGACATCGAGTTCTTTCGTGAACCACCCGCAAAAAGCTGCTGAAACTCTATAAAGCCTTGCATTTGAACCATTTTTGCTGTTATTTGGACAACCTACAGCTGCGCGGTAGTGAGGCACGACGGCTATGAAGCCAAGCCGCACAAATAGCGGAGGAGTCAAGCCTAACCAGCACTGTCTGAGCGACCGAGCGGACGAAAGAGCCTCCAAAAATGGCGCCTTTCCCTTTCCTCCCTCTCTCTCAGAGTCGGCGCATGCGCCCAGCGATCTCTGAAAAAGGTCAATTGACAAGGCGCCCGACTTGGCCCGACGCCAAAGTATTTGCCAACGCGACCGCCGGCTTTCCCGCTTTCCCAGCATTGCTCTTGGTCGCTTCTTTGGTCTGCTCGCTCGCTCGCTCGCTCGTTGCGCCTGGTCGGTTTTTCTATTTTCTTGTAGACTTTTCTTTCTTTTTTTTTTACTAACTAGGAGAACATAGTGGTGACATTCTTTCACGGAACAAACGTTCGCGCTATATGCAGATCGGCGGTGTTTCTAGCGCGTATGCAAGCAACGGACTTCGCTATAGTAAAATATTCTTTCGTGAGCATTTTTTTTCTATAAAACAATGAAACTAAATCGAGTTTTGAGTTTGACGTATCTCTTGTGCATCAGCGCTAGATACGCAGAGAAAAATAGGCGGTTTTTTCCGCTTTTTTTCAAGTGTTTGTGCTCACCCACCGAGACATGGCCCACCCCACTTTTTTAACGAATTTCAGGCGGTAGGGGGGTGGGCGATGACTCGGGATATTACGGTATGTCAATATGCGTTACATGTTGCATTTAAGTTAAAGGGGTCATGAAACGCTTTTCAAACTTTTTCCTGTTTAGCTTTCCTCCTCAACTCATAAATCGCCCATTCCACCAAACAGTTAAAGAATATGAAAAGAAGGGAGGCCCCTCTAGCTCGGAATCTGATTTGTGTAGCCGGACAGAGCCATTGTCCCCCTAGAAGATTAGCCCGTCGTTCAAAATTCAGACAAAAGTTGCTTTCCCCACCCCGTTCATCCCGAAGCTGACAGTACTGTTGAAGCTACGTGCTCGTTGGGCCAGCCACACTTGCCACGTGAGCGTGGCAAATGTGGCTGCAGAGAATGAAGTCAGGAGTTGAAAGGGAGGCGGCTGATTGGTCCGGCAAGCGCATAGCTTCCAGCACAATGTCAGCTTAGGGGTGAAGGAAACAAGTGAGGTCCGGTTGCGTGTGACGTCAGTTTGGACCCGATGACGCGCTTTTGGGACCGCGGATGTATCACAGTGAGAAGGCAGAGAGGTTGCGAAGGGGAGGAGGTACGAAATAGTCCGCTCTGTTTTCAAATTTTCGCACTGAAAGTCGGGCTTTTGACTTTCTACCTTTTTTCTTTTGGTCCACTGAACGATGTGCTATTAGTAAAATCCCAATCTACAATGATTTATCCCAACCCAAAAATCGTTTCATGGGCCCTTTAAGAAAAAGAAACAAAACCTTTTTTCACCAGAAAAAACAAAATATCAACGTTAAGTCTGGTAACAATGTATTTTTGCCGAATCTATAGAAAAGTTCGGCAAAAGTTTGGCTTTGCCGAATCCCAAGATTCAACGCCGAACTTTCGATTCGGCAAAAGTTCGGCCTATCACTACTTTCCTTTGAGAGTCGGGCCTGTTTTTACAGTTGTGTCTTGGTGTTTCGTGTTATGTAGAACTTGCCACTTACAAAATGCATGTTGCTCAGACACAGCTTCGTCATTGACCCTAGTTTCTTGCCTCGGTAGTGGCAAGAACCATTTTATGAACGCATTGAAACAGAGATCTCTGGTGTGGTGTTCAAGCCAGTGTCTGTCAAGGTCGGAGTAGACGTGCCAAGCAGAGGGTACACGCACCTGGGTGCCATGGGAATGAGACACTTGTTTGTTTTTGTTTCTTATCTTTTTCCCCTGTCGCACTCTCTGGTTGTCCGAGACACTGTCGGCGTAGGCTACTTGGACGCATGCCATTCGGACTAGTTTGGTTGATTGCGTCGCAGCATTTGCCATGCTGCGTGTCCTTGCCTGTATATCTTACGCCGTGGCCTTACCGAGTATTGAGTGACCTAGTGCTCTTACCCTAAGGTCAAAATGTCTACCAGCCTGAAAAGTCGGGAATTGACGGGGAATTTTGAAGCCCCTGCAAAATGTCAGGAAATTGTCGGAGAAATATTTAAAAAGTGTGCGAGGTCGGTGAGAACAACCAGCGAGAGTGGCGGGGTGATATGCGGCGAAGTATGGGACTCTGCAAGCAGTGGCGGGGGTGGTGAGGGGAATATCTTTATTTTAAAACATTTTGCATCGCACTAAATGTCACTGGACAGTGCTAGCCACCCCTGATTAAATAAGAGCAGCCTCCGGAACTCCATCCCCTGCAAATGCAACATGCATGTAACCATCTGTTAGACTTTGGTTCATCAGACCTACACTGGTTTCAAACTATTGGATCCTTCAATCATGTTTGTGATGTACGCTTGGTTTTGTGTTTGCTGCAGTTGTATTTTCAATGCAAAAATACTGGAGCAACAATGTCACGGTCCAAAAAAGTGTTCCCTTAGTACAAGCTGGACCAACCTGGATTATTTTCCAGATTTTCCTCCTTTTGTACGGTTGTGGAATTCTAAAGAGTTTGGGAAAACCTGGAAAATTGAGGGAATTTGGTATACACTTGGCGAGGTAATTAACAAGCCTTTGATGCCCAGCGTTGCCCAGGAGCGACGATTCTAGCGGGATTTATTTTTTCCCCACGTGACGTGCACCTCAATACATTTAGTGCTCTCCGTCGCGAGAGCGGGGAAACATGTGCTTATTAGTAGAGGATCAAAATGCATCTCCAAGACAGATAGCTCGTCCACTAAATCCAAGGCTGTCATTGAATGTGTGGTACGATGTCGTTCAACACTGGCTTTAATGCGGCGACAAGAACAGGTGCAAATACTGCGAATCCGGTTGCAACTTTCTCCGATTGTCTACAACCACAAAAACCTGGAATTGCCACTGATTTTCAAAGCATTTAAAAAAGTCGGGGAAATCGTCAGAATTAGGCAAGTCGGGAAAAATGGCCGACGTGGGCAGGGCAGCGACATGTGGCAAAGTGGGGAGTGTGCACGTGCGGTGGATGGTCTTTGCGCTCAGTGGCAGCAGTTGCCGAGGCATCGCTACGCGACATAAGCCGCCACCCGGTTTGCCGAATTAAACGGTAACGGCCTCAGCAACCCTATCTTCTGCCTTTTCGTCTTTTGTAATGGTCGGGGAATTCAATAAAAATATTCGGGGATGTCACGTAAAAGTCGAGGAATTTGGAAGAAGCAAACTGGTAGACACTCTCTACCTCACAAAGTCGGATTGTCCTTGGTTGCCGCTCTTGCAGGCGTTCTGACCCAGTCAACAAGGAGAACATGATGTCCCAGGCGGGTCCCATTGCCCGCAAGGCCGGCAGCATCAAGTCCTCCTCGAGCAAAGACAGCCTGGACTCAAACGGGCAGTCGAGGGAGCAGAGGAAGGCGCGGCCGGGTGAGTGGTGTCTTACACAAGCGCAGTGTCTCGAGGCCTGTCCACACCTTTAAGTCTGGGTGCAATTGAGTTCGTCGCAACCACGTGCGACTGCCTATGACGAAAGAACACTGATGCCACCTATCGGCAAGCTGTAGAATACTTCCGACCGGCATATATCTTGCGCGCCAATGTTCCACCGTGGGCTCGAAATAATTTTGACAATGTTATCAATGACCATTTCTCACAGGCAGAGTGCGGATTTGATCTTACAAATACCACAGAACTTTACTAAAGTTGAAGCGTGGGCGATTTGGTACATACTTGAGAATTAAAACGGAGCAAAGAGACGGAGAGACCGGATGAAGGAAGTCGAACATAGTGCTGTGTCTGTGTCTTCCTTCATCCAATCTCTTGTCCTTTCCGCTGTTTCAATTCTCCAGTACCACTGAACCTTCAGTCTAGTTCTGTGCACATCTAAAGGGTTGTAGGCCTATCCGACAAGTGCAGTTACACGGTCCCTAGATAAACTACTTACTTCTGCAGTTCTCACCCTTGTAAATTTTGTCGCCACTAGTGGCGCATATACAAAAATTAAAGATGTTTACAGCACCCTGTAATACCAAATTAGAGTGCACCTCTTGAGGAGGAGGAGGAGGAGGAGGAGGGGGGGGGGAGGGGTACTCAGTGGTGTTGGATATAGCATGTCGGAGTTCACGCGCGTAAGAAAAAGACGTCGAGGTTGTTCACGCGCGGTGAGACTCTCGCGGGCTTGTGCATGGCTTGGCATGCTGGACTGGTTGGTGTTCTTTTTGTACATACGTTGCTGACCTTAGTGTAAGATAAACCCTTTTGTCCTGCTAGTCCACAGCGACTATGTCTTTCATTCTGCGCCCCGCAGAATAAAACGGGTGTATCTCGAAACAACCCATTCTTATTTGAACCCTTCTCATTTGAACCCATTCGCAAAACGCCCTTCTCGTTTTAACCTTTCGCGTTTCGACCCTTTCTTATTTATACCCGTCTCATTTGAACCCATTCTCATTTGAACCCTTTCGTCTGAACCCATTCGCAAAACGCCCTTCGCGTTTTAACCTTTCGCGTTTCGACCCTTTCTCATTTGAACCCGTTGTCATTTGAACACCGTAGTGAGGTATAGAGAAAGGAAAAACAGTTAAGGATGAAGGTTGAAGATGAAGCGAAGCGGCACCATCTCTTGCATAGCACATGAAACAATTTTCCTTATGCCTGCGTGCCACCCCGAGTCTGTTGACGTAGCTACGTGGTCACATGGTGACGTGGTTTCAAAAGTGCTAGCGCAGATTCGGTACTTCATTTCTCTTCTGTCGCTGTATGTCATTAGATGTCGTCGTGTGGAGCGGATGGATCAATGTGCTAGTCGTGTGTTCTTGCTTGTAATGGCCAATTCGGGTGTTCATTTTCCCTGAAAAAAAGTTTTCCCATATCTTCGGCAAGGGCGTTCGCGTGGTCAAAGGCTGGCGGGTGCAAGCTTTTCGGGTTGCGCTTCTCAGGCGTGTACCGGCAATTTTCCAGCAGAAGTTTTCCCGAGCTCCAAGAGGTTGGGCAGCTTGTCTGCCAGTCTGTATCCAGTATCGTCACATCTGGATCGGGATAGGGAACCAAACGAAACAATGATCGCTGAGGCGGCAAATAGCGGGTTCGAGTGGCAAACGAAGCCATCGAACAGGCACCTTTTTGTGCTCTGAGACAAGATAGCGAAAACAACGAAGAGAAATATAATTTATGTTTCAAAGAAAGTCAACATTTTTGGAAGAATTTATCCAGCCTGAGCAAGGTACGTTTGCTCTGAGACACGGGCTGCATCATACATCACTTTATTTTACAACTATGTAATAACAAGTTATTACACCACTGAAAAAAAAAGTATGCATAGTGATGTAGTTTGAAACTTGAACACGCATTACAATTTCAAGGAGGGTGGGTGCAATGAGAAGACAGGATCCCAATAAAGGTACTAGAGAGTTTTAGTAGATCGTTCCGATAGCCCCGATAACGATACTATGCATGCGCAAGGGAGGCGGTGGCGGAGTATCGGGTATCGTTATCGGAGTCATGGGAATGACCTACAAAAACTCTCTACTAACAGTAAACAGAATATGGAAAGTGACGCTGGCAAGCCTCCGTGGCAACAGTTAATCGAAAATCCAAACGAAGTTTATTGAAATTTGACGCGCGTGCGGGCAGCACCACACTGATTTATACATCTGCCCCTTCATTGATTTTATATTTTAATATTCTGTCAGCTGTACGGACTGTGGTAATGCCAATATTTTGAAAAGTTTTGTGTAGCCGCTTCTGTTTACACACATCTCAAAGAGTCGTAGTTTATGTTGTTGGCGTATGCAGCGTGCTCATGGTACCATAGAATGATCGAAGAAGTTAACAGAGCTCACTCTCGACCCAGTCAAATAAAAACGCCAGTTCATTGTGCTTTGCATTCGGGTGGAGAGGGTCACGTGATGCGCCGCTGGCGCGTTTTTGGTCGCGGGTGCCACAGGCAAGGGCTCAAAGGCAATTAATTACCCGAATTCGCCATAAATACCGCAGAAAGATTGCGAGATCATGATGTTGGATTAATTTGGGTTCGAAATGAGAGGTTGAAGTAAAAAAAGTCTTTCTGACAATGCTCAAAACCAGAAAGTATGTTTTGAGAAAATTTGAAATGAGAAAGGTTAAAATGAGAAAAGTCGTTTTGAGAAGGGTCCAAACCCGAAAGTTTGTTTTGAGAACGGTTTAAATGAGAAAGGGAGAAACGCGAAAGTTGTTTTGCGCTGGGTTGAAATGAGAAGGTAAAAACGAGAAGGTAGAAATGCGAAAGGGTTCAAATGAGACCCAATAAAACATGGCGTCAGAAGTGAGCCAACCTGATGATGATGTATCCTCCCGGTAACCTGCGAACGTCCAAGGTTAGCAATGGCAACATTTCAAGCTGGAGTTTCAGATTCGTCAAATGCTGACAGCGCCGATACACCCGGCCACAGCCAAGCTTCAGGTCCGCAGCTGGGATACAAAACGCCCGTGACCATGACATCGTTCCAGATTACGCCGCCGGGGCCATTTGCCTTCGCGAATCCCAATGATTGGCCTACATGGAAGAAACAATTTCTTCGCTACCACACGGCATCGGGACTGAGCGACAGGCCAGAAGCCAGCCAAGTCGACACACTAGTTTACCTGATGGGTACACAGGCTGAAGAGGTGTTCAACACGTTCAAGCTGAGTGATGCTGAACAGAAGAAGTTCGATCTAGTCCTGAGCAAGTTCGACGCCTACTTCATTCCCCGTCGGAACATTATTTCTGAAAGGGCACGTTTCAACACACAAACTCAGCAGGACGGTGAGTCCGTCAGAGATTTCGTTACGGCTTTACGTGCTCTGGCAGAGACCTGCAACTACGGAGTCCTTCGAGAGGAGCTAATCCGAGATAGGCTCGTCGTTGGCCTCAAAGACAGGAAAGTTTCTGAAAAACTGCAGCTCGATGCGGATCTAAGTTATACGAAAGCATTGACTGTGGCACGCCAACACGAGGCCGTCCATCTGCAACAAGCAGTAATGCACAAGGAGCCATTAAGCAAAGTCACCATAGACAACGTGCGGGCTGGGAAACATAGACCGTCCTCACGGAAGACCCTCGCAAAAAGCCTCGCTGGTGCATCGAGCCCTCTACCGTCAACGACTGCAAAGGTCCCAAAAGGCAAGAACCAGACAAGCTCTTGCAGCTGGTGTGGTCGCGAACGACTATCAAAGAATGCATGTCCGGCAAAAGACGCTACTTGCAGACAGTGCTCAAAGAAAGGACACTTCGCCACCGTCTGTCGGTCGGCGCCAGCTGTACGCAGCATTCAAGAGCAAGAACCAGGCTTCCTGGGTCTCACAAGCCATGGAAGGTCTCCAAACTGGGACGTCACAGTGGTCGTCAATAACATGGAAGTTGTATTTAAAGCCGACACAGGAGCGGATGAAACAGTGCTTCCAGAATGCCTTTTCCGCCATCTGTTCGAAGGTGTACAGCTCCAGCCAGCGAAACGGCCCCTCGACGGCCCCAACGGTAAGCCACTTATCGTTGTCGGCACGGCCTAGATGCACATGACTTTCAACGGACGAACAAGCATCGAAGAAGTTTACGTACTTCAGAGCCTGAAGTCACCTCTTCTAGGCAAGCCTGCCATCGAGAAGCTTGATGTTCTAACTGAACTCGCTGCACGCATCGGCGTTATCGAAAAAGGAAACGTCGAATCCGAGTACCCTGACCTCTTCCAAGGTCTAGGAACCTTGAAAGATGAAAACGACTTCAAGCTACAGCCAGAAGCTAAGCCTTTTATCGCTGACGTCTCCTCGGAGGGTACCCCTGCCGTTGTACGAGAAAACAAAGCAGGAACTTCGACGCATGCAGAACGAAGCAGTGATATCACCAGTAACGGAGCCAACATCTTGGTGCGCGCCAATGGTAGTTGTGCCAAAATCATCTGGGGCACTCCAAATTTGCGTGGACTTCACAGAACTAAACAGGTACATACTGCGAGAATGGCATCCAATACCTGCCGTGGAACACACTCTGGGTATGCTACAAGGTGCAAAAATGTTCTCCAAGATAGACACAAAGTCTGGGTTCTGCAAATCCCAATCAGCAAAAACAGCAAGCTCCTGACTACGTTCATCACGCCATTCGGACGCTTCTGCTTTTTTGCCGTTTGGCATCTCTTCCGCCCCCGAACACTTCCAGCGACGCATGGCTGAGATCCTGGAAGGTCTGGATGGAGTCGTCTGCCATATGGATGATGTACTCATCTGGGGGTCGACAAGACAGCAGCACGACCAACGACTACGACAAGTGATGGATCGTCTCAGAGCAGCCGGAGTTACCCTGAACAAGGACAAATGCGAGTTCAGCAAGCGCAGCATATCGTTTTTGGGGCACATCCTTGAAAACGACGAGGTGCGGCCCGACAGGGAAAAACGTCGTGCTATTGCCGAGATGC